CATCGAGTCTTCACCAAATGGCTTGAAACTCGGCCAATGTGGGCAGAGGTTATGAAATTTTATCCTGTGCCATCGAAATGTCCACAAAGGGTGCCAAAAAACAACCAATAATGATTTTGTAAAAAATTAGAAATGAGCCCTGTGCACAGGTAGGGTGCTACAGTGACACACCCCAGTGGTCCACAGTGGTTCTAACAGTACACAGAGACTCAAGACAAACCGAGTTAATCAAAAGTACGGGAATGCTGTTGTGAAATCTTTATTTCTGAGTCACATTTGAATATCTCGGAAAAAACACTGATCAAAATAAACTTATTCCCATTACTATATTAAAAAACAAAATGAGCGCATCGTAGCTGTTAACATTGAAATAATCAAAATCACACATACATCAGACTCCTATTTGCCTTACAAAACACTGAAGAACTTTCTACTTAATAAGTCTCATCGTAAGCATAAATAATAACAATAATAATAATCAGCAAGCAAATAAAATTAAGTCTTCTACTTAAATTACAAATGTACACATTACTTTGTAAGTATTCTTTTGTTCTTATAATGTTAAAAAAACTTTTATTACAATCAGAGACAAAAACCAATCTTAATCCTTAAGCTCATCGAATGATGAAAGTTTGTAGAACAAGTCAAAAATAAAAATTAATAACTCCATAACCCTTATACCTCTTAGCATATCCGAAGTTGGGATAAATCTAGTCCAAAATTATAGTACGGCCTAGAAGAAGTGCCAACAATTGAAGGCTTTGGCAGAAGTAATTTCAAATCACTTTCTTTTATAACAGAAAGGTCAGGCTTATCAGGCATGTGAAATTTGCTAGTACCAGGCGTACGCCTCAGAAATGATATGTAGAATTCATTATTCTCATTTCTACCTTCTATCACCTTTCCAACGTAAAGCGATGTAAGTTTTTTTGTTGTAAATTGTACAATCACATATTCGCCCTCTAGTGGCGCACGAGTTAGAGATTTGGTTAGGTGCCTTTCAGTTATAATCACTGATTCTTCGTCAGAGTTTTCGTCTTCATCTTCTGCTGCCCAGTCTGTATCATCATCAGATTCAGCATATTCCACTGTTTCCTTCTCTTGATCATTATCTTCTTCATCACTTTGTAATACTTTTCGAGTGACTTTTCCCTTCTTATTAGTGTTTTTACTTTTAGCAGCTATTTTTTCTTGTTCTAGACGAACTTTTTCCGGTGTGTCAGTAAGAATCATGCTACGGCCTGGTTTCCTTCGCTTGCGGGTAGTTGTTCTAGGTCCAGCCTTTATTGGGTCTCTAAACTCAAACGGAGATGTAAAAGTATTCTCAGCTGATTGAGAAATGGATGGTGTCAAAGCAACGTCTTGTGTCGGGGTAATTATATATGGCTTGGGTGGAAGTTTGTTCGAAGAAATTGCTGATATGAGCACTTCAGGAGCTAATATTTTAATGACTGGAGTCCTGATGGAACTGAAACGGTATTGGATACTTTTGTTTTTGTCAAAATTGAATCTTCATCGGACAGGTTCTTCGTTTCCACTTCTTTAGAAATGGATTGATGGTTGATAGACACAACAGTGGTTTCAATTTGACTTGGTTGTGTCGTCGAAGTACCTAACGTTGGTGAGCATGGTTTTTCTGATGTTGCACAAGTCTGTGAAATAGAATGCTCCGATGAGTGCGCAGTAGTGGTCTCTTCCGGTGCTCCCAACTCGATGACATTCATTGAATTGATGTTTACGTTTATGAGCCCTTCTTCACGTGGCAAACAGTCTGAACAGGGACCTGGACGATCTGTTACTGTACTTGGCAGAAAGTCCTCGTCTGTAAAAGGTTTCTGTCGAATGGGTAAATACCACATTTTGCAAAAGCCCTGGTAATGTTTGTTGGGGTCATTGCTTTAAGAAAGGCTGCCCCAATGATTTCACCTAAGTCATATATGGTAACAGGCTTTCCAGGATGTGTCATAAGCCAGGAATCGATGCCAGCATTATAATATACTTTGAACGCGCTAAATACTCCCACGTCAAGTGGTTGTAATTTCCCCGAAGTGTGGGGATGAATAGTGAGGAGATTGACTCCACAATCTTTTGCCAACTGTATGGCTTCAATGCTCAAATGTGACTCGTGGTTATCCATTACCAACATACTAGGATTTTCTTTGCAAGAGTTCGTATGCTTGATAAAATGTTTCATTACTTCTGTGAAACTATCCGCGTTCATCCATCCACTAGGCGTTGCTAAGCCGAGTGTTCCTGCAGGTGTGTTTTTGATCATATGATCTTTGAATTTTTTCCTAGGAAATATCATAACTGGTGGCAAAGCGTTGCCGCTGGCACTTACAATGCAGCATGTGGTTACCAAAGTTCCTCTCTCACCACTTGTGACTTTTCCAATGCATTTTCTGCCTAATGGTGCTATTACTTTTTGAGGCTTTTGCACTGTTGTCGTTGATGTTTCATCCAGATTAAATATACGGGTACCATTTGCAAAAGCCGAGTTTCTCTTGATCAGATCTTCTAAATTATTGTAAAAATTATTGACGTTGTTTCGGTTGAAGGCTGTAGCTCTTGCTAGGCTACAAGGTTCTGGTCTCCTGGAAGAAAACCTGTTCCTACGTTTGAACAAAGTTAACCAGTCCTTACCCGCCATTTCATTGTCTGTCCAAGTTTTAGGCATCTTTATATTATTTAGCTTAGCACATTGATACGCCACTTGACGACATTCTCTTGCAGTTAATCCGTAAAACAGAAGAGCGCAATGCGAAAAATATTCCTTCAACTTCTCTTCTTGGGATGCGGTAAAGATCTGGTTCACAGAATAATTCGGCTCGAATCGCTCCTCATCGAGATTTTCGGAACCAGCAGTTTTCCAATAATACCTCTTCAGGGTAGTAAATGGCACACCACAACTCGTAGCTGCTTTTCTGATAGACATACCCTGCCTTATTAATAGTACCCCAGCTTTAACGTCTGCAGCGGAGCTGTTGCCAATTTTTCTCATTGCCCGTTTCTTGCGAGGCATTCTGAAACAAATATTCAAGTAAGCGGTACACAATGGTTCACTAATAGTACACAGTGGCTCGTGAACCACTGTGTACTTCCACGTGCTGAGCCACTGTCGACCGTGACGCCATTTTGAAATATATGTCTTCTGTGCCATATTCACGTTGCACTGGCTGTTCTAAGCAAAGTTAAAATTATCTTGCTTCTACTTACTTTACTACAAAATATAAATAAATAATAAACTAAAGCAATTAAGCTAGAATTTTAAAGTCAAACTTACCTGGAAATGTAATTTTGGGTACCTGAAAACCAACACAAAGGCGAGACGCGTGCTATCAGTGCTTTAGTTGCTGACCGACTGGTTCATGCGCATTTGTGTCGTAAACACTTGATGTAGATGACTACGACAGATAGATAGTCTCTCTCGTTTTGGAGATATTGAATGGAGCCACTGTACCCGACTGAGCCACTGTTCCCGACAATACCTTACTTGTAATTACGGCGTCTCATTAAGTAAAAACCTGTATATGGGAGAATGGCACAACCGTCGTTTTGCTGAATTTTTTATTAAACTACTGCAACCCGCATTGCACTAGAATGGTTTGTGGTCAGCAGACTCGTAAGATCCTATTTATGGAGATAACTTTTGGAACACGATGTGATGTTTACAGTATTGGTGCTAGTCATAAATTAAGATGTGCGAAAAGTTTTTGCTGCCTATGAGCCTAAACGGGTTTGATACGATCAGCAAAGCGGGTACCACCTTTGCAGTGGTATTGTGATCTCAAAGCAAGCATCACATACACAGTCAGCCAGGACGCAGTGTGAATTTTAGTATTTGGTATAAGGAAATATAGTTGCAGTTACGTAATAAGGATGCTGTTTTGTTGACCCACTACTGAATGTGTTGCCACACTATGATGACCTACCGGAAAGCCGTCGCATCAGTTTTCATTGCGAAAAGTCGATTCAGCATTTCTTAAGGCAACTTATTAATGATACCTTAAAATATCATAGGTTTATTCTGACTTCTACAGAAAACTATTTCAGAACAGTTCTAAAGTACCAATATCCACTCACAAGACCGTGCTGACGTCAATCAACCTATTATGCAGAATCAGAACTGTCCTGGAATAGTTCATTGTAGGGCACAAAAGAGGCTATAATTTGATATCCGGTCGAAAGGTCGTTGGAGGTTGAGCTTAATAATGATCCTGTACTATAATACTAATATAATACTAATAAAACGGAAAATTTTCTGAAAGGGTTCGATGGTTCACTATTCTACGAGGAGGTACCCAAAAATAACCTGAATCACATTGCAGTGGGCGGAGCTTGTGTAGTACACATGTCTGCCCCTAGAGGCGTACAGCGCAACTCATTACCAGTTCAGCGCCACCAGAGTTGTCGATCTGGCTTGTTTCGTTCCTCTGTAGTCATTATTTTTGCTAGAGCTGTTTCGTGCTTATTTCGTTTTTTACGATGGCAAATTTTGCTTATTAATTGGTAAAAATGCCGCTGAAACTGTTTTAATGTTGAAAATAGCTTACAACGATGATGCTATGGGAAAAACTCAGGTGTACGAATGATTTGCTCGGCGACATGTCGATTGATGACAACCTCGAGAGCTTGTGCTTGCAGATCGTCGACTGACAATCGATCAACTATCCGTAAGTAGTGGATTGTCCTGGAGTTCGGTTCAGCTAATTTTAACAGATGATTTGGGAATGACAAGGGTTCCTCGGGCTCTGACTGACAATCAAAAAGAACACCGAGTTGGAACATGTCGTGCTTTAAAACAAAAGCTTGAATCTGATCCAAATTTTCTGTCAAAGATCATCACTGGTGACGAGGCTTGGTTCTACGGTTATAACCCAGAAAGTCAGTGGAAAACGCCATCATCACCCTGTCCAAAAAAATGTCAAGTCAAAGTCAAATCAAACATCAAAACAATGCTGATTTGTTTTTTGATGTCAAAGGCGTAGTCCATTCCGAGTTTGTTCCCCCAGATCACGCTATCAATCAGACCTTTTATTTGGAGGTTTTAAAACGATTGCGAAACAGTGTTCGGCAAACAAGACCCGATTTGTGGCAGTCAGGATACTGGTTCTTCCACCACGATAATGCACCTGAGCACACAGGCATCGCTGTTCGACAGTTTATGGCTAAAAATGGCATGGTTCCGCTGCCTCACGCACCTTATTCGCCTGACCTGGCTCCATACGACTTTTTCTTATTTCCACGGATGAAAAGGGGCATGAAAGGATGCCGATTTGACGACATTGAAGAAGTCAAGAAAAAAACGAGGGAGGAGTGAATACACACATTTCTAAGGAAGACTTCAAAAAATGTTTCGAGCGGTGGAAGCATCGGTGGGACAAGTGTATTACTTGTAGTAGACGGTATTTTGAAGGATTGTGAAAAAGTTGAAAATAAATAGCTTTTAAAAAATAATTTTGTTTTTTTGTACCCCCTCGTATAAATCCAATACTTACCCATTAGCAATCTGTCCCGGATGGTTCAGCACGATGACCTGAGCGGTGAAGTCAGAAGCCCCCTTGGGCGGGTTGTTCTTCGAGTCCCCTGCGACGTATCCGCGTCGCAGCTCCTTCACGGAAACGTTCTTCACGTTGAAGCCAACGTTGTCTCCGGGAACGGCCTCCTGCAACGCTTCGTGGTGCATTTCCACCGATTTCACTTCGGTGGTTAGGCCGACCGGGGCGAATGTCACCACCATGCCGGGCTTCAGGATGCCGGTTTCCACACGGCCTACGGGCACAGTGCCAATACCGCCGATTTTGTATACGTCCTGCAGAAAAAATAGTGTCAAATACGATTCAAAGCAAAAAAGATAGCTCTATTCTCATAGATAGGAAATCCTTTTGCGATTTTGCCCATTCGTTGTCCGATTGGAGCATTGGTTACCTTCAGGTGCCTATTCCATAAAAAGCATGGTGTAGTAATTACAAGTAAATTTATTTGTAACTTGTATTGATCTGGATTATTTTGTTCCATTAATGCAGTGTGTGGCATTAGTACTTCTCCATATTTTGCAAGTATGAGACCATATTTCCAAATTAAGTATATTTTCATTAAGGTATGGGTGGTCACACTGTTGCTTAAATTCTTAAATATCAATGTGTGCTAAAATGATTAAGACTGGTAGAAAAAACTGTTTGATATTCTTAAATTGGAGTTTTCTTTCTTGAAAATGTGGTCATGTGAGTCGTACTAATTTTATATTTTATGTCAATTCGGAATTTGATTAACGCTTCAGATTAAGTCGCATTGACTGGAAGTAATTCTCCAAACAAATGGAAACACACTTCAGCATTCGACTAGTAGCAACTATGCCCTACGCAACAGATATTAAAAACATTGCATTCCTCATTCCTAGGATCCAAATAGTTCGCGATTTTCGAAGACAAATCTCGAATGACACGCGGCCTAAGTTGATTAGGTACTGTTTGGAAAGTGATAACTGTTGGATACTCCAATGAATGAATTAATAAAATTACAATTTTACAAACTTGTTTAGCTTGCTTTTAGGAGAAAAAGAGAGCACCAGATAGCAACTTTCGCGGGTACAATACCGGAAGACTGGTCCAGGGTCTGTCCATCAAATTCGACATACAATACGTATGTATGTCTTCCTAAAAAGCCTGGCCTATATTCAGACGTTGCATGTTAACCTGCGAACTCGTTCCTTACATGCATACGCTGGCACACCATTCTGCTTCTCAACCACACATCTCAGAGTATCCTCTACCGACTATCTCGGCATCCTGCAACCAACAAAGCAAGATGGGGAACTGAGTTGCATGGTCATTGAGCGTGTCGTGTTGTTGAATCATTCCGCCTTGGATGATACGCTTTTGATGACGCTCACAGTGAGCAAATGCGGAATGTACTATTTACACACTAGGAACTATCTAGACAGCAAGTTGACATTTTGCCGTTATTTTTTTTTTATGTTTTATTGGTTTTTTACGTAATAGCCCTGCCGGACTCGGACCAGCCGAAACAAACGACTCTTTGGGAAAACTCGGCCATCCATCGAAACCTGATGAGCGCTAGGACGATTTTTGTTCATATGAAACTGAGTTGTAAACGAATGGTGTGTCGACGTATGCAGCACCTTCTGTCTCTATCATGTAGCGGCAGCGTCCCTCTCCTAAATTCTGTGAAGGAGACAATGCGTCGTTTATTATTTGACAGTATAAGCCTAATAATCAAATTAAATTTGGCAATACATCATAATAGTGGAAACAACTCTGTACATACCTTGGTGCAATCATTATTATTTGAGCACTTTTATATCCTGAGGCGCATAGTCCTGACGGATGTAATGTAATATTTATTTTCCTTACCTGAAGCGGTAATCTCAGAGGTTTCTCAGTAGGTCTGGATGGGGGCAAAATGGCATCCAAAGCTTCGATTAGAGTTTTTCCTTCCGCTTTACCCTCTTTACGTTCAATGTTCCACCCTTTGAACCATGGCATTTTGTCGCTGGGCTCCAACATGTTATCCCCATGCCACCCACTGATTGGTACGAATGGCACTGCAGCTGGGTTGTACCTTATTGAACACAAATTAATATTATGGAGCACAACACCTCAGCGAAAATGTTTCATCAAGTTCACAATTCAGTTTAGTCTTGAGGATCTCATTTACCACAAAATACTATTTTGGCCATTCGAATGAGGATAATGGTACTTCTTGACATTTTGACTCCTAAAAGAATATTCTGAGCGTGTCTTTCTTACGAGCGAGCAGTACCAAAGCATCCTTGCAAAGTTCAAATGTGAAATTCTGCGCCAAAGTTGTGACGTATGTTTTAGCCTAACGTGACAAGTTTTTTGAAGCATTGTCTTTAGAATATGTGCCTCCTATATGAGGGTAAACCTTACGTCAGATTTTAGGAAAATAAGTTTTATTATCTGGCGTTAACGGTTTGACAAGATCTATGGTTACATACATATGCAGAACAAAAAACAAATCCTATAGTTGTTCCAGCCGGGAGGAAAGTCAGAGAATTTAAATTTGATTTCCTCTGAGACACTAGGAAAAACCGAGGAAACAATCTATTATACAGCATAACAATAACTAATAACTAATAACTTATTTTGGCTAAATTCAATTTGTATAAGTTACAGGGCTGAATTTGTTGTTCCATCAATTAGAATAACCTCCATATTTATTATTTTTGATTGTTTTATCATCCCTGTAAGCTATATCAAGTTATAACTAAAGTGGGCAAAAGAAAGCCGATAGCTGTTGATGACACTGTAGGCCTAGGTAGGAAATATCGTCTTGGATACAAATTTCATAGGGTCGTATGAGTGCACTTGTCTGATTTCGATAAAAAAAATATTTTTGAAACGAACAGTCATGTTTTAATATTGCTCGTCCAAATGCCTACAACTTGGTGAAATGGGTACCTCAAGTTTTTTCGGGTCGCTAATCATGTATGTTATCAAAAAGATTATATTGAAAATGACGGAATCAGCATAGGATCGTTACCATAATCGATAAATTATTGTTGGAACAAGAATGTTTCCCTCATAGGCGAATGCCAAATGATCAGTATATACTATGATCCGTCAGCAAATGTCATTGATTTTGATATTTATTGAACGTGCAGATAGGACCTCAGTTATCACTGATGAATATGGTTACGCAGATATCCACTTAGATTGATGGAATGGTACAGTAAATACTGAAAGCACGTACCAGAGTAGACGTTCGCCATATACTGATCTAAACTGAACTCTAGTAAATTTGTAGCTAAAGGATTATGCTTGCAAAATATTACTTTCAAGCCATTTTATAACTACAAGTACTAAAAAATAGAAATGTGTTGGGGCTAGACCATCCCTGCTGATCTGAACAAGTTAATTATGCTCCATGTGAGAGCTTAACTGGTTATTATGATGTAGAAGTGTCATTGTTGTTAAAAAAAATTGGTTTCCAGTTGCACCCTTTAAGGCCTGCAACTCAAACAAACCGGTATTTCGAAAATCGTCAGATGACAAAATAGTCTTACGAGGGTAGGGTCATCGATCTTTAAATTATTGTCCAATGTAACCTGGAGATTTTGCGTCCTCCAACAGAACATAGGAATTTCGATATCGATATCTCGAGAAAAATAAAAATGCACTTAATGAGAAAACTAATAGAAATATTTTTATTGAATATTTTTTAATCTTGTTTAACCGATTGCCAGAAGAAACCGATAAAAATGCACTAACTTCTCTTTCTTTTATAATGTTTAAGCTTCCAGCTATATGGTAACTGTGATAGAATTTTGCTATTGAATTTTGCATACCCAATTTTCTTAATGTACGAAGACACTTCCTTCTTAATTTCCTCGAAACGAGCCTCCGAGTAAGGTGGTTCAGTGGAGTCCATCTTGTTAACGCCCACAATCAACTGTTTTACGCCCAAGGTGAAAGCTAGAAGAGCATGTTCGCGAGTCTGGCCATTCTTCGAAATACCAGCTTCAAATTCACCAGTACCTGAAATGAAATTTTCTTTATTATCTGTACTAGATAATGGGAATAATGGAGAAGTCATTAAAATTGATTCGGTAGTTGCCACGCAATGATATAGATCCATTTAAATTCTAAGCATATAAAAATATCATCAAAGCATTATTTCACATTTTTTCAGGAAGTCAAAAACGTCATAAACGAAGTTTAGATTAGTATTTTTCATTTGACTACAGCCATGATTTATGGATTTAAGACGAAAAACATCTAAAAAAGAACTTTGGAAACGCGGCTTGTATCTATCACACCACGTATGGTAAGCGTTCCGTTTCAATAAAACTGTTAACGTTGATAGTTGTCATTCCATGATCATTTTTTTTTCTCATAGAATCCGAGCTTTTAAAGGAATACAATTGAAAAATAGATATCAATAATATTAATTATTTTAGCGGAATGATATGCGACTCTGTGATGTACACCTTGACAAACATAATTTTTGGTAAAGGGTTTTTCATTACTACACATTGCATCTTATAACATCCCTTTAGGCAATAAAAATTCAACTAGAATTTCATATTGCCTTTGGCCCAAAGGCCAAAAACTTATCATAGTAGCTCGTAATGTCCTAATATATAATAATATAATAAGTGTATTTACGTATAAACTATTACAATCCATTAAAATCAATATAGGTACCTATAAACGCAAACAAACTGAAATAATCCCACAGAAGAATTTAATTCTTGTGCGTGGTAAAAGCTAGTCATAAAAATGTTTGCTTTAAGCATAGATATACTTAATACATAACTTTAAGGGCAACATATAACCATAAATTTAAGGGTAATAACGTTATATTCAACAGTTAAGTAATTTTCATTTGAGTGGGCTTTGTTATTTCATGTCGATTTTTAGTTAACAATAATTTCTTCACTTCAATTTTAAATCTAATTTTATTTGAAATGGATTTTACATAGCTTGGTAAAAAGTTATAGAATCTAGTGGAAAGGTAATTGAAGCATTTTTGACCTACATTTTTTGTTGTAAATGCTGTTCTTTTACTTCTTGTTTCATACTTGTGGTTCAATGACAAGGTTAGTTTTATTTTTGAATAGATTGACAATAGCACTGTAAAAAAGAGTTGCTTAAGATCGAGTATCCCCGCTTCGGAATATAACATATCAGATGGATATATAGAATTGGTTATTTGACAATACTTTTCAAAAATTGCTTTTGGATTATTTCTAGCTCCTTAATTTAGTTGGTAAACGTACCATCCCAAGCTAGTATGGCATAATTGAGGCGACATTCAATAAGTGCATGATATAACATCTGCATTGCTTCATTATCTAAATACTTGTATTTAGCGAGGTATTTGAATTCAAATAATAATCGTCTTAAATTAGTTACTATATGATGGACATGGATATTCAGTCCACTTCAAATGAGGATCCAAATGAACACCTAAATATTTTGTTTCATCAGCTGAACGTATGAAAGTATTAGTATTTTCACATTTAATTTGTGAAGAGGTAAATGATGAACATTTATTTTTAAGGCTTGCGAAAGGCATTTACATGGTTTTCTGTTAAATGATTGTTAAAGTATCACTGCAAAGCATATTATTGTGCCTTGTGACTTCACGCTAAGAAGGCTACTGACTTATACAGTAAAAATAACGGCCCTAAAACTATCCCTTGCGGTACACCATAAGCCACAGTCTTTTCTGAACTTATGGAACCATTTACTTTAACATATTGCTTTCTGCGAATGAGGAACTTCTCGTAAGGTAAATTTAATTCCATATACTGCGAATAAACTGTCTAAAATATTTTTTAAATAAATTTTAATTTAAATAGTTGCGAGTGACTCACCGTATCGAACGCTTTTGCTAGGTCTAAGAATATTCATAGTGCATGTTTACTTTGCAAATTGATTTTCATCAATCAGGTTATTTTTATTAAAAAAACGAATGAGCCTAACCTTTAATATTTTTTCAATTATCTTTGCCAAACTTGATATTAATGTTATTGGTGGATAGTTGCTCGTATTAGATATATCACCAGATTTATGTATCGGTGTAATTATTCCTATTTTGTAAGTGTCTGGGAACACTCCGGATTCAATTACAAAATTTGCTAAAAATGTTAGTGGTTTTCTGAATTCGGATGCAATCTTTTTGAGTACCTCTGACCGTCTGCCATCTAATCCTGGACCCTTATTTTTCAGGCTATAAATGGTATATTATATTTCATTTTCTGTTACTGGTTTAAGAAATGTTGAATTTTGTATGATTACTCTAAATGAAATATTGGTGGTAAGTTTATTTATTTTAGTTGCCAGTTTTCCTCCCACTTGAACTTGAAATATTTATTGAAAACGTTAGCAATATCTGCATCTGCAGTAATTACAGTATCATTAGTTTTGATTTGTTCAATAATTGTCATTGGCTTGTTTGAGTTACACATTTGGCTGATGATATTCCATACAGTTATTTTTTGTAATATCTCCGTATAATATGTTTGTTTTGTAGCTATTATTAACTTTGAAAGTTTATTTTTGTAGTTTAAAAAATATTGTTTTGCTTCATCAAATTCAGGGTAGCCTGTGAACAGTAACATGTTTAATTATTGTTATTTCAAAACGTTTTGTTTCTATTTGAAGATATTTCATTAACCTACGGCTTGAGACCCAAGTTTATTGTAGTAGAAAAAAATATCCGATATATGTATTTTACTGGTGAAATAAGGGGGCTTTAGGGCTAAAGCCCACTCACGACACAGACACAGTGTGACTAAGTGACCTCCACTACTCAGAGGCTGGATCCGCCCGCAAGACCCTCCCAAGATTTTTTTTTCAAGATACACCAGTAGTCTAAACAATGACAAAATATATTAAATTTGACTGAAAATTTTATGATTGCATACAAAATTAAATATATTTAGAGTTAAATTGTTCATGCGAAAGTTTCCTACAAAACCACTACACCTAAATAAGCCAATCTCAAAAATATTGTTAGATAAAGAAATTCAGTTGCTAGGACACAGTCACTATAATACTACTAATATGAATTAAGATAACTTAGTGTGGTGCTTACTAAATTATAGCTGATTTAGTATTTAAATGAGGTATACATATATTTATTATATAGGGGCATATTTATTAAGCATTTTTTCGATTTTGTACTTTAACTCCCGCTGTACATCATTTAAGCGCCCTATCTCCTAAGAATATTTTTATTCGAATGGCAATATTTTTGAAAAATATAAAACATACATACCTGCAGCGACGATCAATACAGCACAATCAGCCTGCGAAGTGCCGGTGATCATGTTTTTGATGAAATCCCTGTGCCCGGGGGCATCGATGATCGTCACGTAGTATTTAGAAGTCTCAAACTTCCACAATGCTATATCAATCGTAATACCGCGTTCGCGTTCCGCTTTCAGCTTGTCCAATACCTATCAGAGAAATGGTTACTTTCGTATAATGTCTAGTTTCACTGGATTAAGAATGCAAAAAATTCTTCACGCACTGTATAAGAGCTCATCGATATTTTCTGATACCTAATATTTTGACTGAATGAATGATGATGAGCCGACGTTTTGAGAAAGTGTACTTCATTATATCAATAGTAGATCTAATAACACACCGAAGAAAAAGTTAATTAAGAAAATTGAAATTTTAATTAAGCCAATTATGAAATTAAATTAGTCATGTGACGGCTAACAAGTTTAGCATATTTAATTAAACTCGATTTCTCAAACAGTTTACTTGAATCGATGAAACTAGTTTAATTAAACCAAAACGCAATCGTTTAAGTTCATTAAACCGTTTACTCAGATTCACTTAGAATTAACGAATTATCGAAATGAGTTTACCTGCTCCAAGTAAAATAATTATTATATATTTATTCAGTTTGTTTGATTAGTTTAGATAAAAGTATTTGTCTAGTTTTGATGCATTGCTTTATTTAGCATTAAAAGTATATTTGTATAAACTAAAAGAACAAATTGTATTCTACAGAATGATGTACTCGTATAATTATAACTGTGCTCTGAAAAAAATTGGAGAACTTGATATTGATATTTAATGTTTTCGATTAAAAATAAAAACTTCTAAATTTTATAGCACTAACAAAATTTGATTTTTATTTTCATTGATATTATATATGGGATCAAGTTTTACTAATTACTTGTCTGATTGCCTAGAAACAGGTCATAATATATCACCATTCACTAGAACCAATTCTTTGTTATAAATTCAGAAAGCAGGGATCATGTGATCATGTTTACAAAAATTGTAGTTTTATTTCTATTATATATACATATAACAAACTAGGATATACTACAAAGTCTGCACCAAACAGAAAGCTGCACTCTCTAGATAGTATATAACCATTAGTGATGGTAAATAATTTGACAGCAGATTCCTTTTAAAGAAATATTAAGGTTAAGTTAAATTTTCTTAGTCTGAAAGTCAAAGGCAACCGAGATACATATAGGGTGGTAGACTTATTATTTTTAACGAAACTTGGCATATATCTAAAAAATTACCCTTTTTCAAATTATAGAGGGCGCCACCAACATTTTCTTTTTTTAAACTTTGTAACTTTTTTACCCTTGTATAATTCAACTTTTTATTTAAAATATGCATTTTGCAATCATGATTCACCCTTTTCGAGATATTTACATTTAAAGTTTTCAATGCACTCAAGATGAAATTTTATTTTCATAAGTTAAAATATTCATTATGTAGGCTGTGCCTGACGAACTGAATTATAAACGTTATTGTCACGTTTTACGTTCTTAGACATCCATTATTTTCTAATTCGGAACTGCGACATATGGTTTGCGTATATGCCCAAGAAAATTACAGTTGTTTAAGAGCTTGTCGACGGTATGCGCAATTGTATTCAAATAGGAGGCAGCCAGATTTTAAGTTTTAACGTTTACCAGACTTGGGGAAACTGGTTCATTCAGCCCAAAGCGGGATGTTGAACATCCAAACAGACATGATGTGGATCAAGAAGAAGAAGTGTTAACCCAGGTTGCTGAAGATCCAGAAATAAGTATCACGCATATGGCAGCAAAAACTGGAATTAGTAAATCATCAGTTTTCAGAATTTTTCATCGCGAACATCGCCTGTACAAAAACTTTTAATTGCAGATCTTCAAGGCTCAGCAAAATCAAGATATTTATAAATAAAATTATATTTACGGATGAAGCGGCTTTTACCCGAAGGGGAATTTTTGATTTTAGAAACAAGCATTCATGAGATATTGCAAATCCCAACCTCTTTACTGAAATCTGGAAGACACTTTCAACGCGAATTTAAAATAAATATTTGGTGTGGTGTAATAGACAATTTTTTTGGGACCATACGAGTTACCTCCAAATCTAAACGGAGAATTATATTTTAACTTATTTAAAACAAAGCTCATTGATTATTTAGAAGAATTACCTTTAAATCTGCGCCGGGATATGGTTTTTATGTAAGATTCGCACTTTGCTAGACCGGTGAGAGAATATTTTGATGCTATTTTAACTCTATAGGACGTGGAAGTCGAAGACCTTGTGCCGCACGAAGTCCAAATATTAACCCATTAGATTTTTGCGTATGGGGATATATGAAATCAATTTTTTATGAAAATACAGTATACCCAAGAGAGGAAATAATGTCAAACATTCAAAATGCTGCTGAATCATTTCGAAAATATTTTTTAAGATTCTGAGATCTTTCATTAAAAGAATTATAAAATGTTGAGAGAAATGGAGGTCATGTCGAACACTTGCTGGTAAATATCGATAATTTTTATTTCTGATTTATCTTTAATTTTAAGTTAATTCATCGTTTGTATTTTACCATTCATTCCAAGTATAATGAAGGAATTTAAATAGTTTATTGGTATGATTTTTTTTGTTGAACGCATTGAAAGGTTTAAATGTAACTATCTCGAAAAGGATGAATCATAGCGGATTTTTAACGTACTTTTTTAAGCGATTAAATTATATCAAGTGTAAGAAAGTTACGAAGTTTAAAAAAACAAAAAAATTTGCTGGTGGCGCCCTCTATAAGATAATTTGAAAAAAGGTTCATTTTTAGATTTGCGATATAAAAAACCTTCATATAACAAATGTCGTTAGAAACGAAGAATAAATGCTAAATTTATGGCCAAAATTCAAAATAATCATAATAAGTTTATCACCCTGTATCTTGGTTGCCTTTGACCTTCGGGCTATGAAAATTTAACTTCATCTCAATATTTCTTTGAAAGGAATCTGCTGTTGAGGGGCCGTTCAAGTATTATGTAAGCAGATTTATTACAATTAGTTACCCCCCCCCCTATCCCCCTTGCCAGCAAAAGTAAGCAAAGCTCTTACCCCCTCCCCCCATGCTTACGTAACCATTTGACAATTAATGTATTATTTTTTTTTAATATTATAATTATAACGTTATAATCATAATTTGGAAAATAAGAAAATAGATTTAGGATAGAGATTATATTTTACTGATACGGGCAAAAATATTATATCTTACAGTCTTCAGTCCATGAAACCCGAATCCATGATTCTATGTTTTCGATGACATTGGATTGCTTCGATTGCTGCTCAGTGTTGTGAGTTTGCTCGCTTTCATCGGATTTTGGAATGTCTACGTGGTTCTCATCGAGCCATTCAACATCATGGTGCTCTAAATTTTAAATAATGCACATCATTGCATTCGCACGAGGAGCAGCGACTCTTACAGGTCTAACTCTCCTATCAGTGTGCGTCTTTACTTTTTTATAGATATTTTCGATATGACGATTTAGTGACTTGACGGAAGCATGATAAAGACCACACGTTTTGCATGTTCGACTTGATAGCCTCACTTTTACCGTCGGACAAAAATAATCGTAGGGCATTTGCAGGAAATCTTTGAGTGAAGCACCTAAGCGTAGAGCTAAATTGACTGGAAGATTAAGAAATTGCGCTCCTTCATCCAAAACCAAGCCATCAACTGTTTGTTTTACTTTTACAGGTGGTGGACGAAACCTATTGTCTAGTAATCTAAATAGGCCAATTCTTGGACAACAGCATTCTGTATTTCTACATTTTACAATTTGAAGCAAGTATTGGCTCTCACGCACATGTTATGAATACCATTTAATGTCTGGAAAATCAGGAAGATCTTGTTCACCTGCCCCAACATATTTTGCATTAACATTATAGCCATCAATTTCCATTGAACTCCATACTTCAGCTAATACATTTCCTGCAAATTCGGAATTAGATCTTTCTAAATGCTCATCAATTGTAACGCCACGTCATCCAAATGAGACCCAAAATGGTCATGAGGCAATATTAAACTAGCCAGTTCCCAACTAAGAGGAGCCATTCTGCGCTCTACTCTGTTATACGCACTTCTTCCAGGAGCATTGGTATATAAAAACAATGCATCGAGATCATGTCGCTTAAAGTGTTGTATAGCAAACCCTATGACTTTTTGATGACGTGGATTTTTATCTGGCCCTCCATCAACCGTCATGATTACCACTGGTTTTACTAGTCCATGGTCAGTTTTAGCTAATGGTCGAAACTCTTCAAGTTCGAGAAGCGTCTCGAAATCCTGACCATGAGTATTAGCAGTAGATGATCTAGGCTTTCCACTTCGAATAGCGAAGTATGTTGGTCCAGAATATCCAACGGCTTGCGGTTGTCCTAGCATATTGGAAGTGATTTTGATAACAGCATAAACAGATGGTATTAATTTATGACGCTCAGCGATTACCCAATCGTAATCAGGCAATTTGATTCTATATTCCATGTGCATTAGAAGTGGTGATTGCTTATTTGCCGCAGTTACGCCAATAGGGACTCGAGCTTTATCATCTTGAGATATGAAAAATACTTCAGCAGGTCCAAGTATGGATGCTATGTTCTCTAAATAATGGATTGATGTTTCAGCGAACTTGCTATCTAAGTGGCTCTTGTGGTGATCAATTTGAGCCCGAATGAGCTTAACAGAAACTGTCGGTACATGTCTTCATCCCTCTGCAGAATTAGATCTTCTAGGAATCAAACGAAGATATGTCCCACTGCGACTAATGTCAAATCCTATTTTACATAATTCTTGTGTGAGTTTATCAAGAGTTTTTACGCTACGAATTGATTCCGTTCGTCTTCTATCATCTGTTGCACTCCCAAATAAAGCTATATCCGAGATTGTTTTCAATAGTGAATGTTGATTGCTTTCAAGATTAGGACGTCCCACTGAATCCCTCAGAGATAGTCTTTTTTTTATTTGGATTTTCATGGCAAATACGTATCTTCTAACTTTCTTTTCATACCATCCCTGTGTTTCTTCTGGGCAACTGCGTTTTGAACCTTCCTGTTTAAAGACTGTTTTGTTTTTACCAGTAGCGGATTTAAGTAAAATATGCCCTGGGGGAGCCCAGTGGTGTGATCGGGGACAGACGGCAATTAGTGCGCACTATATCTGTTTTGCGAGTAACATAAATTACTGCAATTATTGTCAAATAAAATACGGCAATGAGCACGTTGAAAGTTGCATATCTCAGAAATTAATATCAAAATATTATGCGTAATGTCATGTTAGTGCAATCGTACAGCAGCCTGGTTTTTGCATTTAATAGTGCGCACGGGCACGGGACAGGTTATAATGCGCATCGTAATTTTTTGAAGTAAATTAAACTTGATGATCCACCAGCAAACTTCTTGTGCATAATAGAGTTTAAAAGTTATCACGGATGCTAATATAAAACAAATATGATCGATAGTTGTTGTCATGTTTGCCGTGATTAATGTTTCATTGAATATAAACCTGGTGAACAACACTAAAATACGTTAAATAACGTGCATTACTACAGGAATACTGGGCACTATTTGCGAAAGTGATATTCACATTTAGCGTTATTTGCAAATTAATGACGCCAACTCAATAAAAAATTTAGAAAGACCTGCACAAGTAACCGAAACAAGCTCATGGATAGTGCAAAAGTTTTTTTAATAGTAATTCAATGCATAAGTTAATCTGATGCTGCTTGAATGTGCTAATATAACAGCTAATTCAACTGTTCAGATAGAGTCCGAACTACAGATTTTGCTGGCAATAAGGATGTCACATATTAACAGGAGCTTACAATTATATGCACAATAGTAGCTGCTGCGCACTGTTACCTGTTTTTTACTATATGTTTATATAACCTGAATCAAGTAGAGACTGTGAGATCAAACATTTTATTCAATGCAAAATAACAGAATTATTATTCTAATTTGAATCCGCGTCTTGCTTTTCGTTCAGAAAAAACGTCCATCGCAGAATCCAAATTGAGTGTATTAGCTAATGATCTTTCGATATAGAGGATAGAGAAGTTGTTGAGTGTGTCTTCAGCCAAAGAAGCTCGACGGTATTATTCAATAATTTTCAAAGAGCTCATGACACGTTCAGCACTAGCTGAACCGATAGGAAAAGTCAAAAACAATCTGAATAAACTGCAGCTCTCTAGAAAACTTTAATTACAGTGAATTTGGACAACATAGAATATTAAACTTAATAGTGGAAATTGATAAAGAGCGCCTTGTTGTGAAAGTAGCAACAATTTAGCATAGTAGCAAATTTCTTCCACGATATTATTTATCATGAAGAAAATAGATATGTCATCAAATAAAAAAAATATGCACAGTATTGTGAAAGTTTATGGTTACAAGCATTGAAGACGTGAAAAGACTGTAATAGACGCATTAGAGGCTTATTAGACTGAAAGAGGCTTTTTCATACCACGAAGATATTTATTTACTGAACATTATATGCCAGGTAATAATATATCACTGAAAGCACAAAATGAAAAAATAACCCCTCCACTCCTTGAGAAATAAAAGGGTCATTTTTTTAGAAACGAAATAGTCATTTTTCAAATAATTTCTTAAGAAATGAAAGAGACATTTTCTTATTCAAACTGAATGCTAATGTGCTGTTTCATAAACATTACGCAGATGGTCATTAAAAGAACTCTGATTTCTTGTTATTAATTTTACAATCAGACCCGGTGAACAATATAGTCACTAGAGCTGATTTTTGCCGAGGTGGCCCTGTGACCACCCTTCCTTGGGGGGCACAGGCGGCAATGTCCATTTTGCCATTACTTAAATCCGCCACTGCCCGCTAAGTAGATCTATTTTTTATTTTGTAAATAAAGCTTAATTCTGTATTTTGTAAGTAAAACTTCATTACCCTCTATCTCGGTAGGGGAGCATCCTTGGACCCACATTTATAGGAACTTGTTTTGTTATTTTTGGATGTACATTCTACCCTATAAATATTGGCACGTCTTTCTGAAACACCCTGTATATCTTTCAAAATGGCACACAGGCGAACTGCCAAAGTTGGTCGTTTTTGTACGTTAAATCGCTTATTATAACTCAACAAATCATCATCAAAACGTTATAGTGCATCTGGTCGTATATTAACATAATAGGAAACAATCGATTACAAAAATAATCGGATTTAACAATTGTTTCAAAGGGAATTTGTCATAGTTTATTAAATATTCAGATAGAAAAGAGAAGAAGATTGTTATACTGCTATACCGTTTTGATGACTGGAGTTACAGGCAATTCAATATGCAAAATTGCTCAAATTTGACGGAGTATCAGTCCATCATTTTGAAGGATAGTGATTTTATATTCTAGGGTTATGTTATAAGGTACTAGTAAAGAGCTGTAAAATGAGGTAACACATGACCCACCGCCAGCCGACATCTTCAAATTTCCACTTTAGGTCGATTTATAAACTTTGACGTTGCCGCGCGCAGAAAAAATCAGTTTTTAAACTTACTATCGTTACGGACCGTGGCACATAAAAAAACAAAATTGAATGCTTTTTCACATATTTGAAGACCAAACTTGTCTGTAAGGTCTTCATTACTTGTAACACACATCTCCTGATAATTCATATTATTTATTATTTAAATAAACTATATAGCCACGCCGATTACAAAAGCAAGTGGAAAAACCAGCTTATCTGTTGTAACACATGATTTGCAGGCACCCTATCATTGGTTGAATCGGGAACGGCAACGGTAGACAGTTAAAACTTCGTCAAGTCCAGCATCAGCGGTGCAGACTAATGTTGCAGAACTCCTGTTTATAAACAATTCAACGCCATGAAAACACACACGAATACTACAATAATCGTCAGAATAGTTCTTATGCGTACCTTTTATCTTTCGTACATTTTTTGCGACTACTGGCATTAGATCTACCATACTGGATCGAGTATACTAGTGCGATTTTGAAGACAGAAACGCTGATGACGGATCAACGACCAGAAAACCCCAGGATATAAATTTTCGGATCACTCGATCCAGTTTTCGATTTTTGACGAACAATTTTTAACTTTATGGGAATTCGATGTACATTCTAGAGAATGGTATCACTTTCTGGGGCACTATGTATAATGAGGGGATGTTTATTTGATGTGTCGATTAAATAGTAAAAATACAAACCCATGCATATTTGAATGATCCTTTTCCCATTTCCTGCGCCTCCTTTTCGAACTTCTCGATGGTACGCTTATCGATGCCGCCACATTTGTAGATCAAGTGACCTGTCGATGTAGACTTGCCACTGTCCACGTGGCCGATTACCACGATGTTGATGTGAGTTTTCTCTTTACCCATTTTTCAAACCGGATCACGGGCTTCACAACCTTGACACAATCGATGCTGCAACAAAGTTTTATTGACAGACTATGAATGACTAGGTGTTCCTAAGAACATGACGTTTCTGTTGCGTTACAATAAAGGAAATTAAATAAATGCAGCGAAGCGATGTAATAATCAATCTCACAAGTAACTTCCCGATGCAATTTTCGTACGAATCGTCCGTTTCCGAATGCTCCCCCATTTTCGATAATTGTCACCTGGAAGTGAATGATTTCCTCTGTATATGCAGCTAGTAAATTCGTCCCATACAGAGACACATTGATAAATGCAATTTTTACACAAATTAGAGCAAACAAATGAGTCGCGTATATTGAATCGGTACTATTCATGCATTGATTCTATGGTGGTCAGGAAATTCTAAATTAGTTTGTTGCTGAACATATATGAAATTCGTGGTGAAATTGGTTCCGTATGCACATGTAGTAGATATGTGTAGGCTCACTATTAAAAGTATCGTATCATTTTTAATAACTCAAAGTGAAAATGATTGGAAACAGTAGTATACAAAATCAAGAAATGAGTGTGTAGTAGTTCTTAGAGTTAAAAGAAAAAATATGATAATAAAATCGATAGCAATAAATGTAATTCCAAAATGATGTGGAAAACATTAAAGCATATCTCCAAATAGAAAGGCTGAATTATCTAAAATGCGTTTCTAAGATGAGGTAGTGACAGAAAAAATGATTATAGGAAAAAGAATGAACACTTATTTTATAAACATTATATATCAAATAGTAAAGACGATTGATAACTTATGTTTATTACAAGTATATCATAATTCATCAATGAATCAATTTAGGACAATAAACAAACAATCTAAGAAAAGCTATCTCACAATTGAAATCTAAATATGGTAAGAGAGCCCGCTGTGCACCTGACGCAGCGCGGCTCTCCCGTGAAGTTCATTTGGTTGTGACCAAACTGCTGGCATCAGTCTATGTTAGAAGAACAGTGGTTGAATGTAAAAAAATTAATGTTATTTAATTCTGATTTTCGTATTCAAATTAAGAAATTTTTCATTACCATCACATTTATAAAACTCCACAAAATTAAATAGTTATTATCATGACTACGAAATTAGAGGCATAGATTTTCATCTGCAAAATTGTAATAGTAGCATAACTTGAAAATCTGTATATCAAAAGCGAGTATTTGAATGTATTAACTTGAATAATGATATTAAACATTGTTTGAATTTAAAAATGTATAGGGTGAAATTAAAAAATCACTTTGTGAATACTCAAAATGAATAGTGATGTAATTTTAATAGACAAGAATGTAAAATTACAGTAGATTCAAAAAAATGTGGAAAGGAATAATTATACAAAATTGATATTGTAGCATTAATGCTAAATAAATCTTCAACAAACAAATGCTGGACTTCTGACACCACCTTTATATTTTCAGCATAATACTTATACTAAAATTCAGCCCAAGTGAGACCACAACATCGCAAACTCGAAGCGTGATCAGCGCGTGATCGATGTTCCCGCAGAGGGTCTCATTAGAGTTCAGGCATTTTACGGTTTGAAGTTGTAGTTTGAAGCGCTTGCTTTTTCAACTAATAGTTTCATTTCGAAGCTTTTATTTTTCTTTTTTTAAACTTGCCGCCCCTCATATTGATGCTTTTGTTAAATACAATGTCCTGAAGTGGCTCCAATATAAAACTCCATGAATTTGGAAAACATGCAGTTTCGAACATTTTTTAAGACCTAGTTAGACTGTAGCAATACAAAACCCGCCGTTGCGCCGCGTTGATGTCTACAAAAACCAGAGTTGTAATCAGGCCATGGCGTGGCGTCGAGTGCATCGCTGTTATAAGTTCTGTTATATCTAGTGTTTTTTGACCATGTCTTCTACCGACACAGCTGATGAAGGGAGAACTACATTGAGTCCACCCAGGAAACGATCAAGACAAAACCATTTGAGCATCGAAGTGAAAGAAATTATTTTAAATGTTTACAAATGTGAAATGGAGGAAAAACCTGGCTCAGCGTCAACGATGTTGTGCAGAGGGTGGCGAATAAAGTTGGAGTTTCTCGTGCATCGGTATTTAGAGTACCTACTCAAAGAATATAAATTACGGAATGCATTTGCTGAACCTAAAACGAATCAGAACCGTAAAAGCCAAATTAAAGAAATAGATGATGCTGACAGACATGCGATCAGAAGGAAGGTTCATGAATTCTTTTTCCAGAATGAAATTCCTACAATTGATAAGATTTTGAAAGTAGTGAATGAAGACTCAGAGATTTGCCGAATTTTAGTAAAACGACGTTCTAGAGGCTATTAAAGGAACTCAACTTCAATTGGCAGAAGATAGGCCGAAACAGTTCATTGATGGATAGAGATGAAATTATACTATGGAGGAGAGAGTATTTGACAAAAATAAAAACATACAGGAGCCAAACCCGTAGAATTTACTTCATGGACGGGACGTGGATAAATGCTGACCATACAAAATCAAAAGTTTGGGTGGACCAAACAGTAACGTCAGCAAGAAGAGCGTTTTTAGATGGGCTTTCAACTGGGCTTAAAAACCTTACAGGTAATGCAGACATTCCATTTTAGAAGATCCAACAATAGTTATTAGATAATTTTTCATAACCAAAGTGATTTAAATGAGACATTACACGTTATCAGATATCTAGAAAAAACGAGCGGATGTTCACTCTGGAAATCAATGTATTCTACGTTGGAATTCTTATGATATCGATGACAAGATTTTTTACAGCAATGCGAGCGTTGCAGAGACAACATACCTCGTCCGTCACGGAATGTAACACGTTAATTAACAACGTCAGACATTGCGTTGATTTGTAAATTTTTCGATAAGTTTGTCACACTTGAAAATTTTTAGTTTAATTGATGTTGCCTGTTTCTTTTTGTTTTTTAAGCTAACCAGATTCATCAACAGATTAAATGATGCATTGGTTGAAGTGTCCGATATATCTCACCGCATGCATCCCGCTATCATGAGAAACAATACAGCATCGTATATAAAATACAGAAATGTGTCCCTATCTCCGTGGCCTCAGTACTCTTGTGAAAGACATATAATGTACATCCGTATTTAACAAGTTTTATCTTTATAGGCAAAGGAAAAAGGCTCATTATTTGCCACATCGGGAGTGTAGATGGCTTCCTGAAGGAAGGACTATGGTGTTTTGAATAAAAAAAAACACTGACTACCACGAAGAGATGAATGGTGAAGCATTCGAAAACTGGTTTTTAGGCATTTTACCACGTCTTAAAGACAATTCTGTGGTGGTCCTGGATAATGCTCCGTATCATTCTCGGAAATTAGAAAAAATTCCAAATTCATCTTTTAAGAAATCAGAGATACAGGACTGGCTACGTGCAAAAAATATACCTTATGATACGTTTATGTTGAAATTACAACTTCTAGATCTTGTGAAACAACACAGAGCAAAATATGATAAATATATAGTGGACGAGATGGCAAAAGCGCACAATAAAATGGTACTTCGTTTGCCTCCTTACCACTGTGAGCTCAACCCCATTGAGCTCATATGGGCAGATATAAAGAATTTTGTTGCTTAACACAACACAACATTCAAGTTTTCCGACATGAAAGAGCTGTTCAACCTTGCGTTGCAGAGAATCACACCAGAAAAATGGTTAAAATGTGTGAAGCATGTTCAGGAGAAAGTGGAGGTTGCAATGTGGGAGCTAGACAACATAATTGAATGGCATATTGAACCGCTAATTATCAACATCTATGATGACAGCTCTTCTAGTGAAAGTGAAAAATATTGATGTTGTCAAACACATAATATGTATAATTACTTTTTGTGCCCCCCTCAACTTTCAATCACCTCTATTGACTCTGTGACAGTTGTGTTGCGTTATTATTTAATGATGTCTCTTTTTCAAATATTTAGTTCTGAAATATCACCTTAATATTTCCATAGTTTTGAGTCCGACCCTGCTCGGTTCTTGTGTCTACGACCATCATGCCAGCGACGCGTGCTGGTTGTTGTGTCTGGTCTCACTTGAAATGGATTCAAGAGTAGTTTTGAATTCTCTTGGTTGGTGCTCGTCGCCGTAATTTCCGTTAATGCTGATTGAAATGAGAACTACCTCTTTTCAAAAATTATTAAAGTGCCCAGATAGTTGAAAACGTCAAAAAACGTTAGAGATTGTTTAATAATCTCACCTCACCAAATTTTTTGTTGACACCCAAGAACCATCAGATACTTCAACTATTCAATATCAATGAGCCAAAGTTGGCGATATTCTAAAGTGTTTCGATTTTTTGCTCATTATTCCGATTTTCAAAATCCGTAGGAATTTCAAAATTGACTTTCTCGCTAATCTGCGTGAAGATTATATCATTATATCACTGAAACCCTTTGTTGTGCGAATCGGTGGACTACACACAGTCGAGTAAATTAGGGCAAGCACTATGCCCCCATCTAAAGCAATACAGAGACGTCTTGTTTTCTAATAGTTATATTTGTTCCCCTCTCTATCATCATTCATCATTTTTTATTCGCATTTTTTCTTAATTTTTTTACTCGGTAACCAAACCGATAGAATTTAAAACTGGACCGGCCGACGTCCAACTTTGACGTAAAAAGGGCAGAATAAGGTTGAATGCGTCATATAACGAAATCAGGATTTTTTTTAATTAATTAGTTCTCCAAAAAATATTCTTTATACTCACAGAAACTGAGAACCTGGGAAATTGTACAAAACGGAAGTTTGGGGACGCCCCCCTCTCTCTCTCTCTCTCTCCCTCTCACACACACACACACACACACACACACACACACAAATTAAGTGCCATCAGAAATGTTAAAAATCAACAGATATCGCCATTTTCATGGAAACTGGGCGCCTCTAAAGTAGCCAATCGCCAAGCTGTCCATTTTAGTCGCCATTTGAAGCCGTCAAAGCGAAGAATTTCCACGCCTGGTAACCCTGTCACGGTAGGACAACAGCTGATTATCTAGTGATATTTCAAAACTCCCCATACCGACAGATCAATTTGGTACTTGTTAACAATTCTTTTATTTAGAAAAGATCTTTCGCATATAGAAAACGCTAAGCAAAATGGCTACTAATGATCATGATTACTACATTTGAAATCAGGTAGAAATAAAATAAAATAAGCAGATTGTGATTATGTTAATCATCTCTACTTTTTAGAGCTTGAAACACCATATGATTTTAAAGGGCAATGAAACAGTCATTCAGTTTATTCAGAATGTGTGTCAGTATATGACCAAATTGATAGAGGTTCGATTCCCTGAATTAGGTCTGAACATTACTCAGGTAATTCTAACAAGTTAGAGATTAGAAAAATGTAAGTAAAACGTACAACTATATTATTAATTTTCATGATAGGTTCTGCAAATACTTAACCTGTATTTGAATTACGTTACACTGATGACGGACAATAAACCAGAAACACGTGTCTATATTATTTTTACGGGTGAAATTACAGCTTCTGGAAAGGACAATCCAGCATGTTCCATTAACTTACATCGGAATCAATAAATCCCAGAGTATAATAATTTTCCAATAAACATATTTATATCTGGGCTTCGTTCATTTTATTGTCACACTTTCGTCACTTAAAGGTATAATCCAGATATGTGAACAGCAGCTCTGAAAACGGCCCTCGCTTTTGCGATGAGCTGTTCACATCAGTAGACGTCAAAACGTATAATGGATACTCGTGAAAAATACCATAAAACTTCGAGCTCCACAGCCCCACATAACTTCAAATGTACTAGCGCCGAGCCGCGACTCGGGAGGAAATTTTAGAATTAAGACAGCTGCTATGCATGGAAACGCTTATATGTAAGCATAATTTCATATTTTCTTTCTCGACATTTACGGTAAACATTTAAACCTACCACTCTAATGCCAAAAACATCATAGATTGTCGTACCTACCTCTAACTATACACTTTTTGTCGGACCTCTTTACACTTCTTACGACAATGTCAATCACAGAGCAACAAATATGGCCCTAAAATAGCATGTAAGATGTTTTGTGCCAACATTTCATAGTCAAGACAATAGCATGCACAAAATCGAAGAAATTAGAAAAACTGCAAATTTCGAGATCATCCGAACCTCAATCGTTTCTTAGGCCCCACAAAGTATGATTGAACAGTTTTTAGGAATAAAAATTCGATAAAACCAGACTCGAGGTTATGATATAATGTAACCTAGTGTCGATACTTCATCTATTTTGACTAAATTTCATCCAGCTTGCAACAAAAGATTACTGACGAACGGCAGAACGCGGTGCTCCACACCCTTTTTTCTTAAAACCATCCCCTTTTCACTGGACTACTAGGATGAACCCTGTGAACCAATCCGACCATTTGTCCTTCAGAAAATCGATTGAGCGCCGGCACTGTGCTTGAACGCCCAGCGCCACTGCGAAAATTCGTAAATTCTGCTTCTGCACAAAGCTCGGCAGATATCCTCTATCCGCAGTTATTGTTAGATGACCAACATTTTCAACAGTGATTCATGATCAATTACATGCGTCCCGCTGCACAATCTGCATGATTCAAGCGACGTATTTTCACTCACGCTGGGAGCATAAATAAAATTATTCCCGAGGAGCCATGTTGTGATGCAACACCGGAGTTCACACGCCTAAAAATAAATGTCTACAAGTTTGTTGCTCTCTCACCGGCATTTTATCGATTAAACTGTTTGAATTTTGTATTCGAGAGATTTATCACCGCATCAATGGCGTATTTCACCGGGGAAAATTACCCGGCGAGTCCAGCCCTTTCATCAAGAAATTGCGTCAGCTGGGACGCTTTATCTCTAGGCGGAAATATTAAAAATCTTAATTTTTATATTTTTCAAATTTCATTGAGAGCAAATTCTCAAATCTATTGCATATTCTACAGATAGTTTACCCACTCACGATACAAAGAAATGTGGATAGAAAAAGAAGAAAGCCGGTAGCCGGCAATCAAATTCATCATAAACGTCAAAATATAATAAAAGTATGTAAAAAATACGGTTACACGATTCACGATTAGTTAATTGATCGGATAATGCGTTATACATGTATAAAAAACTCATCTTAATAAGAATAATGTAGAAAATTTAGAGGCTGAACTTACCTGCCCAAAAGCACTGCCAGAGAACGGTCAAATCGACGTCGACGTTTATGCGCAAGTTAGCGGAAACTGCAGGAGAGGTGTTTGGAGGGGATGCCGACTATTGATTTACCGGGTGGTTATTTATATTTGATGTCATGTAATTGCATTCTTTGTTTTAAGACAGAAGATAATTATCATGATGTTATGTTGCACGTTACAGATTTGCAGCTTGAGTTACACATTCCGTAGAAAAATTAAATAGAACGCAAATAGGGGAAACGATGGAAAATTACAGCCAATAGGGAGCTAAGAAAATTCAGGGTGCAGCCTGCGGGGGTTGTTTCAGAGCGGGAAATTCAAATGTAGCGTGTTCAATTTTGGTTTTTCTGGATGAGATTATTGATAGAGGCATTTGTAGTTAGAAAGTTTAACACTTGGGTATACCTGATAATAAAAACGATGTGGTCTAAAAGTATTTGGTATCGAATTTTGAAGTATAATTCGACTGTCTTCTTATATCTTATAGTAATATTATCTGTTTAGTGGATCGTAGACGTATTTTTATGAAGGTACTTAGGTATTCTTGAACGAAATTAAAAGTCAAAGATGCAGATTTTGATTCTATTTGGGGTAACCTGGAAAAATTCTCAAAGTACTGGATATGTGTTACATAATTTACACTCAAAACACATAACTTGTCCGAAAATGTAACGATCGAGAGTTTGTAGATAATAAAATACAGGTATTATGCATTCAGCAGGCGTCAGTCCACAAGCTACCTTATTGCCGCATAATTTCTAAACTCAAATAACGAAAAAAATCCAGAAACTAAAATTTTCGAGTAGAATATCTTATTGTATAGCATAAATTACCTACATAGCCATCTATAGAGCTGCTAATAACAATAATTTTCTAATTTGAGTTGATGCGTCTCTTGAACGTACCCCAGACATTTACGCCATTCTGTCTGTCGGCGCTTTTCTGCAACTTCTAAGCATGTTATAGCACATATTGTGATACTGCTAAAACCCGCTTGTTACTTTTGGATGTACTCATGTTTGTATTGTATGTTTTTTAATATTCCAAAGATTATTGTGCGGATTTTGTAGAATTTTGGCGCTGTTTTTCATTGCAATAAGACAAGTTATTAGCACAAAAACTAAAAGATTATAATGAATTCCAGTGGTGTTTCGGTCCTGACTTCGTCTGGTATCTGGGCAACCAACACCTGACCGACCTACTAACCTACGATACTTTAACAAAGAGCGAAGGTCCCACAGACCGCTCTGACGGACAATGGCGAATAGAAGACAGTGCATGGTGTTTCGAGGGACACAGTATCAGGGATAATAAATATTGACAAAAAAAATTGCGTCAATGGCTTTTTTTATAAAAATACGAGTGTATCCTTTTTCACGAGAATCCATCACGGTAGAATGACAGCTGATTATCTATAGTGTGTTTACACCCAAGATAGAATGGATGCGTGATTGCCAAAAGATGACAATATTTAACAGAAAAAGAAACTTAACAAATTACTTAAATACACTTAACAACAACAACAGCAACAACCAAGCAAGGTGAATACGAAAATACGAGCACACAGTGATACACGCGACGGACGGTGGCCTGAGTGCAACTCTGCCTGCCCTGCCCCTGCCCCGCGCATTATTCCGCCTGGCGACCGCTTGAAATTTAGTGGCGAATTGACCAATAAGAGGCGTTGTCCCCACCTGTTACCGAGAGATCACGCGCTAACTGTTATTATTTACATCTCATCTTGAATTTGGATTCAGTTTAGTAATATCTGAAGATTCCCCAAATCGGCACAAGACACATAATTCTGACGGATCCGTCAACGCCAGGTAGACAGAGCCGAATTTTGTAATTGGTGCTTTGTACGCTGAAGATTCATTTTGTACTTGCTAACAGCTCTTTTATTAAGGAAAGTTCATTTGCATAAAAAACAACACGCCACAAACAAGTTTAACTAGATTTATACCCGATCCATTATTGCCAACGTTGCAGACTAACACAAAAATGTCACTTGCTGATCAGCTGATCACCTCAGTAGACAGAAAACCGTGATGGATACTGGTGAAGTAGGGTATACGTAAATTTTTGCGGATTAAGCAGCTGATGAATTTTTTTCCTCTCTTAGGCCCGTATCGTCAGTCGACCCTACAATTGTAGGGCGCCTTTATGGCCTCCTTGATTGTCAGAACTCTATTTTGAGGTGTTATGTCACAAACATCTATTTGCATCAAATTGTGCTTTCTTTTGAGTTATATCATGTTTAATCAGCCTGAAATTTCCTTAAATTTAAAAAGAAAACATATCTTCACAATAGGAGAGCGCTGACGCTGACACGGGACAAGTGTAATCTAGAAATTTTTGAAGGAAAGAAAGGAGTATGACAATCAAGGGGAGGCCATAAACGCGCCCTACAATTATTGTAGTTTTCTACTTCTCCGTGTCAGAACTCTATTTTGAGGTTATGTCACAAACATCTATTTGCATCAAATTGTGCTTGTTTTTGAGTTATATCATGTTTTATCAGCCTGAAATTTCCTACAATTTAAAAAGAAAACATATCTTCACAATAGGAGAGCGCTGACGCTGACACGGGACAAGTGTAATCTAGAAATTTTTGAAGGAGAGAAAGGAGTATGACAATCAAGGAGGCCATAAACGAGCCCTACAATTGTAGGGACGACTGACGATACGGGCCTAAGTTATCTCTTCATAACTTAATTCTCGTTTTCGAGGAAAAACATGAAAAACTTTGCTTTGAGTGACACAGCGCCGAACACTAATGTGTTGATAGTCATGATCCTAGATGGCGCAACTTAACCTATTTTTCAAATATTTCTAAAGAGAATTGTCAGCGAGAAGTAGTTTGATTCAAATTTAAAGTAGTACCCAGGTAATTAACAGAACAGAGCGAGAGGCCGAGAGTACTCGTCGATAAATACCGATATATGGCCACTGAAGGCATAGCTAATGCAACTGACATAATTCACCAAAATCGTCAAACACCGTAGAAGTTGTCTACAGGCACCCAAAAGGGGAGCATTCGAGCTTGTTGAAGGAATGCGCAACCCCAACAACTCAACTAATGGAACGAGACAAAACTATATAGATATGTACCTACTGGGAAGCTTACCAACGAAATTCCAAACCCGAGAAATATGTCATCAAAATAAGAAGAAAATAAGAACAGAACAAGAGGCCTACAGGCTATGCCCTCGTCTGCGTCCTCTTCGAACGTAAGGTAAGAGATATTTGTGGAGCCCTCTGACCGGAGATGGATCCATCCCCGCTTCGACTGTATCGGTAATACATATTTTTTATCCGATCGCCCTTACTATTACTCACAACTCATTAAACATTATTTTGATGATGATGGCATCGAGGATGTTGATTTTATATTACAAATCTAATTGTCGAACGAATATTTTGTGTTAATCTATTTTGCAATGCATTTAGAAACATTGCATACTATGAAACTGAATTACTCGTAGATTCAAAATTTTTGATAAGAGGAACATAGTAACAGAATGTATAGGCATTTATCAATGGACTTGACGCTATTTTTTAAATAGAATGGTGATAGGCCTGTGGAAAAATTTGTCCCGCCTTGTTCGGCGATTCCAGTCTCTTGGAAAATTGCATCGCATTAATTATCATTAGGAGATGTGTCAAAGCCCTTAGCGACAAAAGTTTCAGTGCGTTGTTGGAGATTTGATCCTCTTCCGGTGCGTTGCGCACCTTAAGGTCTTTGATATGACCGTGAAGTTCCGCAGGATTGTAATGCGGAACTTCTAGGTGTTCTACACTGCTACTTGTGCAACCGTTGGCTCTGAATTATCTTCTAACGAATCTTTGAATGCGTTCTTTTCATCAAGGTCGTTATCGACAAGATTCGTGGTTTTTCTGTCTTCAGGGCGACGAGTGCGTTTAGCGATCTTAATGGCTGATTTTTTATCCCCGATCTTTTGGCGAATATCAGTATTCTCCCTATTGATATCAGCGTACCTTCTTCTTAAGGGATCTGCTCTTGCAAGCGCCTCTTACCCAAACCTTGCCCACTCCGACAAAGCAGCATCTAGTTCACTCTCAGTACCTACAACCGGAATATTGGGAAATATCGCAAGTATAGACTCATAGAGTTCCCAGTCAATTCAGTTTGATGGAGCATATTCTTCATGATTTTGTTCGGTTGCTACCTCCAAAATGACTGAAAACTGGTCACTCTAAATGTCATACCGAGCTCGAGGAGTAACACTGAAGTTGCAGTTTCTGGATATACCAAAATCAATCACGAACGGTGTTAACAGACTGTTGTATGGATGGTGTGTCGGTTCCTCTGTGGAGAGATGCTCTGCATCTTGACATTGATGCTTCTGTGCTAGTCAATACCGCGTCGCACAAGTAGGACCCTTCCATTCAACGTGTCTGCTTGAATGACATCAAAATGTGGGACGACAAATCTAGCGCCCAGTTTCAGGGATGTTTCTTGCAACAAGGCCAATCTGTATATCCGTCAATCAGGGCTTGATGAAATTCACGTTTTTTGCAGATATCTTTTATCCAACAAGCGTTCCAGAATTTTTAAAAATGATGGCCGCCTTTTATCTTTAGACATTTACGGTCCTGTTACAGATAGTGGAAAGACGGCCTTCAGGGCTTGTGTTACGTGCAGAAGATGAGCTATAATCTGTTCAAGCGACTTCAAAATTAATGTCCAACACAAGACGGTATAAAAAAAGGAAACATGGGAACAATTATATGTTAGTAGCAATGCAGATGAAGCTACGGACATATCTTAGAGAAAATTGAAATATTGATAGACATCAGTATCAGCAAAGTAAAAATTATACGCAAACAGCGGGGTAGAAGTTCCTGGATTACTAACTGACTAATAAAATCGTCAAATGAGAAGGATAGCCTTTACAAGGTAATGAAATTAGCGCCAATAAAAGAGAACGTCGAACGTTACAATTAATATAAAAATCAATTTATAGAGCGCTTACTAGGGAGACAAAACCAGAGCACTTTTTACAAAAATTAGATAATAGTAAAAATGATAGCAGAGGACTCTGGTCTACTATGAACGAGATTACTGAAAATACAAATAGTCAATCTAAACAATCTATTATTGAATTAAAAACAGAGACGGGAGAAATTATAAAGGTTACCAAAAAAATATGCAATGAATTTATAACATTTTTTTCCAATATAGGTGAAGAGTTAGCAAATCAGTTGCCAAAAGATATATCCTTAACATATGTTCCTAAAATATCGCTAAATTCGTTTATTTTAGACGCAGTAGAACCACGTGAATTAAGTCCTACAATTAAGACCCTGAAAAATCGCAAAAGCCCAGGATTTGACGGTATTAAAAATGAGCATCTGGAAATTATAAGCGAGGATATAGCAGAACCATTCAAATTATTAATAATTAATCTATGTTATGAATCTGGTATATACCCCTCCGTTTTGGAAAAAGTATTGTAACACCAATATATAAATCAGGAGATCGGACAGATATTAACAACTATAGACCTACACCAGTAATTTCTAATATCGCAAAAAATATTTGAAAAAATAATATCTGCTAGAATGCTTCAGTTTCTCACTAAATATCAAATTTTATGTGAAAACCAATATGTATTTACGGAAGAAAACTCTACTTCAGACGCAATATTAGACGTTTTTAATCAAATACACCAAAATCTTGATAACAGAATTCCTTCTTTCTGTTTTTGTTGATCTAAGAAAAGCTTTTGACACAGTAAACCATTAATTATTGTTAGACACGTTGGAGAGAGTTGGCTTCCGGGGAAAGATATACTCATTGCTAGAAAATTACTTATTTAACAGACAGCAATCCATTAAAGTATCAAAATTTTTCAGTAATGAAATGTTAATCAAATGTGGCACACGAGAAACCGTTTTAGGTCCACTGCTTTTTAATATATACTTAAATGATATATGTCAAATTGACTGTGTTGGCAAAATAGTAAGTTTCACAGATGACACATCAGTCTTTTATAAAGGTGATAATTGGTTTAATTTGAAAAGTATAGTTGAAAATGATTTTGTCAAAATTATACAGTGCCTTAATAACAGAAAATTGAGCATTAGCGACTCAAACAATTTTTTTATCATTTTCTTCCTAATCCAGACATCTACCAAATCACATAAATATCTCATTTATCGAAAGTAATCAGAAATTAGAAGAACATCAGATATAAAATATCTTCCTGGATCCACACTTGCGTTGGGATGTTCATATTTCATATATTTTAAAAAAAGTTAGATATGTATCGTATAAAATTAAATATATATCAAAAACATTTTAAAAGAAAAATACCTTATACCATATCTTGACCGAGCCGCATATAACCTACGGTATTTTAGCATGCTCAGACTCATATTCATGATTTTGATATTTTTCAAAAAATGATTTTAAAAACAATGTTCAACAAACCAAAAATATATCCAACTGATGTCTTATATAAAGATACACATGTATATATAAGGACCAAAAAATTAAACATAATCACCACACAAGGCATACACTAAGAGGAACAGTTGTACCTAGACCAAATAAATCTGTAACGCAACATCATACCTTTATTTAGGTCCAAAATTATATATACATTTACCAGATGATATAAAGGATCTAAGCTTTGGGAATAAGTTCAAGAAACAGTTAAAAGAATGGATCTTTTCCTTGGCAAGACAAGACGTATAATAGTAAATGTGATCAAATAATTCGTTGATTAGTTATATCTCTATTCATATTTCAATAATACGGTTGCAACATCTATGGTCCATGTACAGGAAATGCCTCCTAAGGGCCGTTACTTCATATTTATTTACTCATTCTTAGTATTGTTTCAAGAGTAAATAAATATTATTATTTACAAGAGTTTGGTGGACAGCCCTAAATTTATTATATCATTTATAGGTTCTGAAGTGTGCCGAGTGAACCTGCGAGTACTTGATATATTTTCTAGAAGCATCTTTACAAGGAAAAGATAGGATATGAAAGGAAATGTCTTGTATGGATTTGAAGAAAATAAAACTCAAAAAGTTCTGGACATTTTTTTTTGTTGGAATATTTTATTAGCCTATAACTAGACTAATAAAAATATATAATACATTTCATAATACATATTGTTAATAAAATTTATAATTTTTGTACAAATAATGGAAACGTCAATAGTATTTCATAACATGATTATTAACACATGAAATTATTTACATTTAAGTATCAATATACAGGGTGAATTTATAGTGTCGGCTCGGCCGATAACATCGTTATTACACATGGTACCTAAAGGGTGATGCATAACTAAAGTCGAAATCACGAAAGATGACGATTACGTCATCATTTTACTCTCTAGTAAAGACAAACGACAGTGATTTGTCAATATTTTTAATGAAGCTTTAGGTATGGTACACAGAGACAAACATAATTTTATTGTCTAAACGAACAGTGTTACTAATATGCATGTATCCGACATAGATAGACGATGTTTTCATGTTGCTTGATCGATCACATTTGACAGATGAAAAGTCAGATTATGTTAGATCAGGTTAGTTTATTTTCGAAAATTACTTTGGTCTTTGGTGTTCCTGTCTTAAGGTGTGTTCTTCTTATACCTGGTTTTTCAAACACAAACTCCTCACTAAAATTATTATTAAGGTAGGAACTAAATCATTCCCAACATAAATCCATCTTTTACGACTTTTCAATTCTAGTTTGCGAGTTTTTGCTATGAAAGGCAAAACTCTTAACTCTCAATCGTAGGGCTTGATGCTATCCTTGTTGAATTACTTTCAACAAGAAAAGGATAATGGAGGGCCTCTATTACCATTGTCAGCTGTTAAAGAGGTTTGTAATAATTAGAAATATGGTCGCTAATTTATTCTATAATATTTTTTAGGGGGTGGCTTGGGCACTAAATATTAGTTTGTCCACTATTACAAGAATACAAAGACGTTTATCGTCATCTAATGATAATGTATTAAGGTCACCTGGAAAGAAGAGACCCAGAAAAAAATCTAAAACTACAGATTTATCTGATGCACTTAAGCATAGTATGAGAGACACAGTGCATCAAATGTATTCTGAAAGCAATGATGATGAGCATGAGATGGTGGATTCCAAATTATTGAAACTTTTTTTCAGAAAAACATGTCACAATAGTAAATTTGAATGAAACACTTAGAGAGAAAGAGCTTGCTTCTATCAGCAATAGCTCTTTGCAAAGAGTGCTGCCCACCATAGGTTTTAAATTTAAAAAAGATGGTGATAGAAGATTTCTAGTTGAACAATCCAGTATTGCTTTACTTCGCACCAAATTTTTGAGAAATTATAATGACTATGTAAGCACTTCCTCACATCAAATTGTTTTCATGGATGAAACATGGGTATTTTCAAAAGGCAATCCCAAAATGTCTTGGCAAGATGAGTCAATAAAAAGTGTAAGGAAACCATTGGGCTTTCAAGGAAAGCGATTTATTGCGGTCCATGCAGGAAGCGAAAAGGGATTTGTTGATGGAGCAAGCCTGTTATTTTCCTCACAGTCTAAATATGCAGATTACCATGGTGATATGAACGGCGAGAGATTCATTAAATGGTTGAAAGAATAACTCCTCTGCAGAGCCATCAGTAATAATTATGGATAATGCACCCTACCACATCATTTTATTGGAAAAGATTCCAAACACAAGTTCTTCAAAAAAAGAGATCAGTGACTGGCTGGTTAAAAATAAAATTGAGTTTCAATCAACATTAACTAAAGTAGAGTTACTGAATATAGTGAAAAGAAATCGTAAAGAAAAGAAATATTCAATAGAAGAAATCATAAGAAGTTATGGACATGAAGTTCTTCGTACCCCCCCATACCACATATTGGAAGATGTGGTCATAGTGATGAAAATGTTTTAGCTATGTGGAATGAACCTCTGTCACAACTTACACCAGAAGTTTGGAAAAAATGTGTGAAACATACTCATGAGGTAATTTCAGATTGGTACAAGAAAACTGTTACTCATGAAATAGAACCAGTGATAATCTCATTTGATTCAAATAGCGATACTGAATGTGACAGAAACGATTAATTTCAATCTGAATTTGACTATAAGTAATGTAATGAAATCTTTGTAAATGAAATTGTTCAGTTTATTTGATGAAATGTATTTTGTATAATTTTGTACTGTATGTTGAAATAAACACTGTGGATGCATGACATGAAATAGTGCAAAATTGAAAAATATTTTCATTTTTATGTTTGTAATGTTTTTTCAGATTCACTAAAATAAAATCATCTTCTCAGAATCAATTGGTCACTATACTGAAGCTGATAGCCATATATTGTTATAATTTTGGTAAAAATTTTACGGATTCAACAATACTAGACAAACAAAAAATGGGTTCAAAATACACAATTATTGTAAACAGATACGCGAGGAAATGCTAGTTTTTATAAAATACATGAATATGTAATTTTACTGCAAATATTTAAAATGTAAATATGTGTACGGATAATTATTTGAAACCGGCAAATAATCGCTCAAATAACCGAACTTCGGTCATATGGCCCTGACATCGTGACTTTATCATCGACGTACGCCCAGTGTTTATTTCAGTACAATTTATGGTATGACGTAATAGTCATCATTCGTGATTTTGACTGTACGTGGCGACCCAAACGGTTTTTTTTTTTTAATGGAAAGAATTGAACAATGTATCGAAAAAACATCCGTAACCGTCATAGCCAGGGTACTGAATGTATAGTCAGTGAAATTTTATGATCCTATATCTACTTACTTTCTCAGTTTTTTTAAGTTTACTCGGGGTGGCCAAGAAAACAAAATGAACGATTACTCGAAAATTTTAAATGGAACACCCTGTATATTTTCATATTTCTCTACAACAAACCTTTATGTAAATCAGATATAAAAGTAAATGGAAAATATTAAAACAAATTTCAAAATAAGAAAATAGCATTTGGTTGGTAACGGCAAATCATTAGAATTGGTGTATATTCATGATGAATTAAATCTACCCAGTTTTGTGCAATCAAGATATAAAGTCAAGAATGTGTTCCTGTGTTTTTAGTAATTCCAAAACTAGAACCAAACCCCAACAACCTTCTCAGAAAAAATCTTGAGAAAAGTGGAATGAAAAAATATGAAAATATGCAGGGTGTTCCATTTGAAAATTTTGAGCAATAGTTCATTTTGCCTTCTTGAATCCTGTATAAACTATCCAAAAAAACTCAAAAAGTAAGACTGCAACAAAATATGGGATCATAAAATATTTCTGACGATAAATTCACTACTCTAGATTTATAGTTGATAACTGCTATCAATTGCGGACGTACGAGTTGACAAATTTGACTGCTTTTTTCGATAGATTGTCCAATATCTCAACAATTTATAAGTAAAACCCTACAGTATGTTATATCAAATTGCTTCATTTCGAATAGCCTATTCAAATCTGCGATAAAACGTTTGACTTTCCATTTAAAAAATGCATGTCTGGATCACCACATAGTTATGAATCATCATAAAAGTAGTTTCCAAATCAGAAGCATACTGATGACTACAATTTTTGTATTTAACTTTTCATATTTCTTACGTAATAACAGCTATATGTACCGAGCCCATACTAAAAACTCAGCCTCATCCTAAGTGAAAAAACAGTTGCCAATTCTTATTCAAGGATTTTTAAGCACGTGATTGAAAAAATTACACAGAAAATAATAACCTGTACTTCTGCATAGAGTAATTTTAGAACATATGTTTATAGAAATGTTTCCTATTATTATTTGTCGACGTACTTTTTGCTCTAGAAATGTTTCACCTTTTTTTTAATCACCTAGGAATTAAACTAGGGCTAGTAGTCTTCCAACATGCGTTTTCACTTATGGCTCATCGCTTGTATAGGAATTAGGGAAAATCATCTGCAAAATCGAAAACGTTTCAGGGTTTAGATGGAGATGATGACCATGTGGGTAAAAGATTCGTCCATCCCTTAAGGGTGGCAGAGGGCTCTCCTTTAGCTACAGTTGTCAACTGCCTAGTTTCATCAGGACTCAGTTTCAGAATGGTATTCAGTACTGGCACTAACCTCGTCCTCTCATCACTGTTGCTCAATGTCACGAACTGAAACATTGAAAAATAGTTATACTCCAAAATCAAAATATCTGGAATAATATCATTTACAGGAAAAATGGTGTAGAACAAAGTAAAGTTTGAGGTTATAAGGTAAAAATAGTTTTCTTAAATCGAAACCCTTATCTTTGGCAAATGTAAAGAATGTACAATTTTAAGTATGCATAACTTTAAGTCTAATCATATTGGCAAATGTTCCCGAAATAATTGTAAAGTTTGATTTTATTGATGCAAGTTGTTCAAGAGGGTATTCAAAACATGGACGCATAAAATGGGTACATCAATTTTTGTCGGAAAACGTTTTATTCGACAACAAAAAATGAGAAAATGTGTTTTTTGTGATTCAATCGTGAGTGTTGACAGCAACGAAAAAACCTCTTCAAATAAGATTTTTAGGTATTTACGAAATCACAAGTAAAAAGATCCGACTTATAGCAAAAAAGTTATGGCCGAAAACCTAGGCAACTGCAGATTTTGGCACTTTTTGGAAATGGGACGATAATGTCACGCAAATACTTGAAATTCTTCAAATCCGTAGGTTTCAAACTTCTAAATAACCAAATTAGAGTAGATTGCCTGAGTAGTTTTTGAGAATTACTAGTTTTTTATCTCAAAACACCTGTCTTCCGGCCATCACTACTAGTTTATTGAGCAATATACAGGGTTCGTTCAAAGGGCATTTTATAGCAAAATACACGCGTTTACCTTGCCGATATGAATCTCCAACCATTACGAAAAATAAATGTTATTTTTATGCGAAAACCCAAGGGTTGGGGTTTTTCTTATAAACAAAAGGCATTTTATAGCAAAATACACGAATTTACCTTGCCGCCGTGGATCAAAAAACCATTCCAAAAGATAATTGTTATTTTTAAGCGAAACACGAAGGGGTACCTTTTTGTTCTTCTAAACAAATTCAAACATTTCGTATTTGTGAGTAATTGAACAGATGCGCTACGATATTGGCAAAACATTATGTTATTATACACCTTTTAAAACAAAGCGGATGAGTCTTTCACCTTTTGTTTCGGAAAAAAATGTTTTTTCAAGATTTCTTCATACTCTTTTGTGTATTTAGAGCTAAAATGTTTACATGGACTATTCAGTGAAATTTCCCTTTGCGGATACTTCTCTTACAAGGACAGTTTCTCATGGTCTCGACCGACTCTCATATAATTTGCATTGTATTAACTCTCTTTTGGACGGACATTCTCTTGAACGCGGACACAAGAAAATGGTCTCCTAACAGGTAATAAAATAAAACGAAAAGCACGGTCTTATTTTTTCTGTTTTTGGCGAAGATACAAAGAAAAATGTATTTATTAATAATAGCATATACTAAATTTCATGCTCAAACTTTCTAATACGAATAAGGCAACTCTGTTAGATATCTGACTATTCATCGTGACAACATACCAGGATTTATGCTTTTTAAAGGCAATGAAGGCTTACGAACGAGTTAATAAAACCATTTCAAAAGCAGCTTTACAAAAGTTCTGCCAACCTTTATGGTATTTGACAGATGAGGTCTTTGTCATATCTCAGTTTGATGACGACGTAGATGAGGAAACTAAAGTAAACATTTTTGCTAATTTAGCCAAAGAAATTCCATCAGTCCACGGTAAACGCTACATCACATCGAAAGAAGAACTATCTGGCCCACTTTATTGCAAGTCTGACGAATAAATTCATCTGTCTTCTTCTAATGCATCGATATAATATGCTAACTGTTAAAATAAGCCAACATAAACTTGGATTCTGGCAATAGATGACACCTTAAACCGTCTTGTTTCGATAGATCTTGTTCCTCAGATAGAGGTTAGTTGCTATGCTTTAGATCGTTGTCCTAACCTGAGGCGAATCCTAGACGATGCTGATGAGTTGTTCTTTTATTGATATATATCTAAGAAATATAAGATACAAATGAAGCGGTGTTTTATTTGTCGAATAAGAAAAAGTTTGACCGAAAGGCATGAGTTATCGTTCCCCGATTGCAATAATATTTATTTTTTGGGTTGTTAGAGTCAAATGGAAAAAATAGAGGCTATGCGTATATTCGAACAGACATTTGTTTGCTGGGACACCCTACAGTATATAGTACATGCCACGTACAGCTCAGTACGGATTTTTTAAAAATCGCAATTTGCATTAAGTGGCAACCTGGCAGTTGCAGTTTCGTAGTAACTCTCCGAAAAAAACACTTAAACTAGAATCCTACCTTGAATACGACATTTTTAAGGTATTCCAAATTCTCCGCGTGGCGTTCCCTTTCTTGCGACCTCTGCTGTCTCCTAATCTCCTCCTTCAGCACCTCGTTCATCTGCGTATGCTTGGCCAAATCCTGTTCTGTATCGGCCAATAGCGCCGTCAAATGACTAAGTTTCAATTCTTGCTCGTGAAGTTGCTTCTTCAAATTCGCCAGCTCTTGGTCGTCCTCAGTGGCTAAAAGCCGTTCCAGGGGAACCGGGTGGACCTTGTTTGGAGAATACGTACTCTCTGGAAAGTAAAAAAAATCTTTCGATCGGGAATTTTAACAACCAAAATACAGGTAGTCCATTTTGATTCTGCCTTATCAGAAAGCACATAGTCTGTGACCTCAAAACAAGACTGCTAGTTGTAAGACAGTTATTTCAGTGGGAACGCAAAAGCAACACAAGCAAAATCGAAATCGGGGAGACAGGTTGCGTGGTCAGGAAGATATCCAGCATGCTACTGGCGTGTGACGAAATGCTCGTCACCAGTTGGGTCAGTCCCTTAGGTCAGGGCTGTCCAGCTTAATGTGGCCCAAGGGCCACTTCAAAAAAAAAATGCAGTTTAGAGGGCCGGCCGCATTATAAAATCTTTCTATACAACATTATTACTGAGTTTGTAAGAATTGTGCATATTCGGTATTTGAGAGTAATTTATACATGTGATGTATAGGTACATGACCCGTGAGCGGGCCGCAAGAAAGGAGTTCGCGGGCCGCATGCGGTACGCGGGCCGTATGTTGGACAGCCCTGCCTTAGGTAATAGCAAACGTTTCAACTTCACGACCTGCTGCATCGATCTTGTTTGAGCCCAACCAGAGCTCATTATGGGCATTGAAATCACCCAGGAGAGAGAGATTGATGTTCAGGAAGTTGATCTTGACAGCGAGGTATTTTTTGTTTGTTTGTTTGTTTAAGATTTATTTAGTATGATTGCTACAATTACATTCTTCTAAAAAACTAAACAATTACATAACATATAGATATTCAGAAAAAAAACAAAATTTGCATCTCTAAGAATTTTCATTGTCCATGAAATATTCCTTTAATTTTCTTTTAAATATCTTTAAATTACAAGTAGACTTTATATCATTATTTAGTTTATTAAATGCAAGTAATCCTTTCTGAAATATTGATTTGCTAGTTATATTAGTATTGCAATTTTGTAAAGGAAAATCTATATTTCCTCTTGTATAATAATTGTCGTAATGGTTATTCAATTCTATGTAGTGTTTTAAATGTTCTTTCAGCAGATGATTTTTTATTTTAAATATAAAAATAAGAACCAAATATGATATGAAATTTTTTATATTCAACCACTGCAATTCTTGTAACATAGATTTTATTTTGGTGTACTTATTTTTATTGAATATTATTCTCATAGCTTTATTTTGCAAGACTTGTAATTTTGAGAATAGAGCTTCATTCGCAGTGAACATGATAGTTGAACAATATAATAAATGCGGTAGAATAATTGTATTATAAACTATTTTCTTGGAATAGGTACCATGACTATGAAAAGTAATTTGTTTGTTTTTTGGCAATTTTTGAAATAATGTATTCATAGTGATCCTCAAACTTTAGTTTACTATCAATATATATACCTAAATATTTAATTGATTCAACATTTTTAATTATTCCTCCATTTATCCTAACTGTGATAGTATTTTCATTTAGGTATTTTCCTATTAGCATACATTTTGTTTTAGACGTAATCAATTTTAGATTATTTACATTTAACCAATTTACGATTTTTGCCAAGTCAGAATTTAGCATTTTTAAAGCAGTGTCTATATTTTCATCTGATATGTATATTAATGTATCATCTGCAAATCTCTGAAGTTTACAATAATCTAAAATATTACAAATGTCATTAATGTATAAAATAAATAGTAGTGGACCTAGTTTACTACCTTGTGGAAAATAAATATTTTTTGATCTTGATAATGTAGATCCAATTTTGGTTTTTGGTTTTTTGACTTCTGTCAATTAAATAGTTTTGTAGAATTTTGAATACAGAACCTTTAAATCCGTTGTGATGCAATTTTGTAAGTATTTTATCCCTGCCAATAGTCTCAAACGCCCTTTTGAAGTCCAAAAACGCTGTTACTGTATGTTTCCGACTGTCCATACATCTCCTCCATCAATGGTGCTGTTAATCCCGCAGATGTTCGTTTGTCTTTCCAAGATTTTGTGGAGGGTAAACAAGACATCATAAAAATGGTGATCATTATATTGTTCGTTAAGTTTATCCAATGCATGTAAAGCAATATTTTGTTACAACACAAAAACGGACAGAACTTTCCGATATATCTAATCGAAACATTCGCATTCATACAACGAGAAGGATAACCCATCAACTACGACGGATATTCTTCAATCGCAAATAAAGACAATTCACCTGCAAAGCCTTTGCAATATCAAGAGCAATGATGCATGCCCCACCAAGCGACGGCTGGCTGTCGTGTCGCGAGCCATATTTCATCACTCGGTTGGTCATAAACATCCAAACTAGAGGGCTGTTATTACTTGGACTTCATGCCTTTTTAAATTGAGTTAAACCTGAGGTAACTTCTAATCAGTTAAGCAAATACAGGAGTCGCAAGACATTTTCAATAGGCGTAAAAGCACGGGAGAAACCTTCTATATACATATTTTCGATACGACGGCGGTGAGCATGTCGAGATCAGAAACTGCCTCGAAATGTCTCGGACCATGGTTTAAAGTCTACATTTTTTCAGAAACTTACCTGTATTTTCAGACCCTTCTCCTTCTTCCCTATGCATAAGAGGAGGCGGTAAATTATGCTCAACAGGAGAGGGAGCTTTTTCAATCTTGCTCTGGAGTTCTATTATTTCTTTGTTATGTCTAGCTTCTTGCTCCGATATTTGCTGTCTGTAACATTGCGCTAACGTTTCTGCGTGAACCTGAAAAGAAACGGAAGTCTTTATAAGCTAACATCCAATGATACAGACTCTTTAGTGCAAGATAGGACTGAAATGTTAATAGGTTAATAGGTACTATGCAAGCCTATTGGATAATATTGCATGTTTGTATGAAAGAAGCTACAGTCAAGACAACAATTTATAAAAGGAAAAATCCAACACCTTGATTCGCAGAGACGGAGAAGGATTCTAAATTAAAAATATACAATTATAAAAAATGTATGATTACTGGGAGTGAAAATGATTGGCTAGAATACACAAGATCAAGGATCCAAACTGTAGCAGTACCACGAGATGAAGAGAAAAAATATTACAATACCAAAATTGATGACATCAAAAATAATAGCAAATATATGTGGAAAACATTAAAAAACATTGTTTCTCGTATTAGAATAAATAGATTATCCAAAATAATGAAGTTCGGTGATGGGGTAATGACAAATGAAAAAATAATAGCAGATCCAATTAATACCTATTTCATAGAAAGTGTCAACGACATTGTAAGATCAATTATTGACGGGGATACCAGCCAATGTCCCATTAGATCAGATTATAATGCATCACTCAGTGAGTTTAGTACAATAAAAATAAACATTAATCGTTTCAAGAAGGTTATATCAAAATTGAAATCAAATGAAAATAAGTGTTCTACCATAACTCCTGTTTCGAAAGTTAAGAATTCCGAGTTGTACACCAACATGGGGCCAATAAATGATGTGCCAGTCATTGAAAAAGTTTTTGAATAAATTATTTACGAACAGATCATCGAATTTATCGAGAGAAATAAAATTTTGACCAAATTTCAAGCTGGATTCAGGAAGAAACACTCAACTGAAACCGTAACACAAATGCTTTTAGAGGACTGGAGGAGATGTATGGACAATAGGAAACATTGTGACAGTGTTTTTGGACTTCAAAAGGGTGTTTGAAACCACTGACAGGGATAAATTACTTACAAAATTGCATCACTATAGATGTAAAGGATGTATTCAAAATTCTACAAAACTACTTTATTGACAGAAGCCAAAAACAAAAATTGGATATACATTATCAAGCGGAACAAATATTTCTGTTGGTGTACCATAAGATAGTAAGCTAGGACCACTACCATTTATTTTATACATTAATGATATTTGCAATATTTTAGATATTTGCAGATGGTACATTCATACACATATACGAGTACATAGCAATGAAAATATATAGACACTACTTTAAAAATTCTGACTTGGAGAAATTATAAATTGGTTAAATACAAATAAACTAAAATTGAATGCTTCTAAAACAAAATGTATGCGAATATGGAAATACTTAAATAAAAATCCTATCACACTTAGGATAAATGGTGAAATAATTGGAAATGTTGAATCAACTAAATATTTAGGTATATAAATTGATAGTAAAATAAAGTTTAAGGATCACTATTTCAAAAATTGCAAAAAATACTTTTATAGGGCTCTTCATCATCTTAGTTGATACTAAAAAAAACAGAAAAAAATAGTTTATCATTCTACCGCATTTACTATATATTTCAACTATCTTGTTCTCTGTCAATGTATTCTCAAAATCACTAGTCCTACAAAATAAAGGTACGAGAATAATATTAAATGAAAAAGTACACCAAAATAATTGCAGAATTGCAGTGGTTGAATGTAAAAAATTTCATATTGTATTTAGTTCTTATTTTTATATTTAAAATAAAAAATCATGTTTTGCCACAGCATTCAAAACACTACATTGAATAATCATTACCACAATTATTATACAAGCGGAAATATAGATTTTCTCTTACAAAATTGCAATAGTAATACAACTAACAAATCAATATTTCCGAAAGGATTACTTGAATTTAATAAATTAAATAATGATATAAAGTCTACTTGTAATTTAAAGATTCTCAAAAGGAAGTTAAAGGAATATTCCAAAAACAGTGAAAATTCTTAGGGATGAAAATTTTGTTTTTATAAATATCTGTATGTTATGTAACTGTTATAGTTTTTTAAAAGAATGTAATTGTAGCAATCATGCTAAATAAATCTTAAACAAAAAAACAAAGATTAAAAGACTCATACTTAAAAAGAAGCTCATATAAGATATAAAGTTGTAATGATCTGGTACATAACATCGGGGTAAAATATATCCTAAATAGCGATGCACCGAGTACTCGATTTGTACGCGGTACTTGGCTTGCTCGGTGCCCGTTTTCGACAAATATTAAATTAGTCATCCGAGTAAATATTCTGTCCGAACGCAAGGTACACAACTCGTGAAAATCAAAGAATTTATATATTTTTCCAAGTAATTAACGCACCATCAAATAAATTCCGACGTTAAAGCATATTTTTGTTGAAATCCATTGCTTGATTTGGATATTTTGGTAAATGTAAACCGTATTCACCAGTAAGCTAGCGTGTTTACGCTATTTAGATAGACAACCAGCTACTGTATACTGTTTTTGAATTAAAAATGCATTGCGATTTGCATCTTTTCTTTTATCTTTCTTATAGAACTCAGAAAAAAACAAACAAGCACGAAACAAAGTAAAAAACGAAGCAAAAGTCGACCATATATCTTTCGAATATAAAGAAGGGTTCGATTTAACACCAAAAGTTCCATCCCACAAGCCTAAACTTATCTTTCCGACATTTTAATATTGTCATACAAAAATGCTTCTCTTGTAATAAGAAAGATTGATATCAAAAAATGTACCAAAAGTATAATGTCAAAATATGGTATAAATATATATATTATGCTTACATTAGTTACCCCACTGCGCAACTTTGTCCCCATTTAACACACTTCATATCTCTTACTGTTTCCGATATCCCAATGCTGAGAATCAAATTTGAGAGACCCGGTATACGACACGAAATCAAAGCGGGCAAAACAGCAAAAATGCTACATAATCTACGGAAGAATAACAATTATTTGAACATTCGCTTTGTTTAAGTATATTTTTACGCGATCTGGACTTACCAGTGTCTTCTGTTTATTGCTTCTGCAGTTTACATCTAAAATAGTATTGCCATTGAGTTCTCTCCGGGTTTTTTTCACATCTCCTATGTTTTGAGAACTAGTCGCTGACAGAGGTTGAAATCATTGAAGAAAACATAATTTGGACAAAAAATCAATCTGGATTTAGGAAAAAAATATTTTACAGAAATAGCAATCCAAATGGTGGTGGAACACTGGAGAAGAAGTATCGATGAGAAAGAATGTATTATAACAAAAGAGCATCTGAGATTATAGATAGGAAACAATTTAATGAAATTACATCACTACGGTTTTAAAGGATCAATATTAAACAGTCCATCACAATATTATTATTAAATTAAATTGTTGAAAATATCATGTCAAGCGTTCAAAATATATCAGGGGAGTAAAATACGGCCGTTACTATTTATTATTTATATAAATTATACCTCTGACATTTTAGAACACTGCAAAATTCAAATATTTTCAGACGATACATTGATATACTCATATATATATATATATATATATATATATATATATATATATATATAATTTTATAAAGAGAAAATGTTCATGCAGAGAAAGGTATACAAAGGTATAACAAGAAACAGGAAAATAATGGGTAAAATCCGCAAAAAGGGAAAGTGGATTCGGGCAGAAAATAGGATAGGTAACCCTAGCAATACGTATTTCTGCTTGTTGGCTTCATCAGGCCTGAAATGAATGCACATATGCAACCACAAAAGTAGATACTAAAAATGCATAGTGATGTAATTTTAATAGACAACAATGTAAAATTACAGAAAATGGAATCAAAAACATGTGTAACTGAACAATGATAAAAGACTGACATTGTAGCATTAATGCTAAATAAATCCAAACAAACAAAGAAAATACGATGAGTAACAAGTTTTGTGTTTCACTGCTTTATTTTGGTTTTAAATTGGTGATTTTGAATATCGAACTTGCAAAGAGAATATTTGAGTACACAAGGAAATTGACAGGATTTTCAAATGACATTATTTACCTAGTTGTTTTTTTTTGTTGTTTTTCATTATGAACCTAGAGACAGAAATGGTACTTCTCAATAAGACATTGCCGTCCATAATGGTGATTTCTGGGGTAAGTACTGAACAAATCATTCACGGAAAAAAGTGATAACACTCGGAATAAACTGTAGACAAAATATTGATATTCGGAAAAATGTACCAAGTAATGGAAAAATACCTACCTTTAGGCTTCTGACAGTTTCTGCATGTTCTACAACAGTGTTATCGAACTTAGCAGATAGCTGTGAATGCTTGTTTTGAAGAACCGATATTTCATTCTGTAATTCCTTGATTTTCTTCTCGTTTGCTTCCTCCTTCATGGTGAGCCCGGTATTTGTATTCTTCAAAGTTTTAAGTTGCTCTCTACAAGAAAATCAACTTTTGATAATATGTTAGGTGATTTTTTTCACTCTCAATCGTAAACATTCCGAAATAGCGAGCTAGGGTTATTTTTTTGTTAGTATTTCATGTTGTTTTTGTGCCCTCTACTTTTTATGATTAGTAACTAATGAAGAAAGACTACTACAGGGATACGGATAACAATCTAGAAAATTATCCTAATTTTGTATGGCTATCTGATGAGCATAAAACTCATCTTGACCTTCGTCGTCAATTCAAATCAGACTATACTTTGACACGGGAAATGGATGGAGCAGAAAATTTTGTATTCAGATGACTTTTCGTTCTCCACAAAAATCTCATTTTTCATTCAAAGAATGGACTTCGAGACATGACCTTGAACGTCAAGGTAAAATTCAAGGTCATCGTCTAATAGCCAGGACCAAATTCTAAGCCTACGCTTTTAGACTAATTAGACTAATTATTTATCTTTTAGATATGAGACCTTGACCGTAACCTTCAACTGAAACTTTTTAGAGGTTAAGGACTCATTCCCGCATGCGTATTATGTGAAAAACCTATAAAACATCCAAGAAAACCTATAAAATGTCATCTTGCAGACTAGGTAGTTTTTAGGGTGCAGAGTCATTCCACGTTTGCTCACTAGGATTGTTGTGAGCGTGCATCTATGGAGGAATGACTCAACTACATGAATTGTTGGTTGCATATTATGTTTTATGAAGTCGAGTAGTCTGTAGTTTCGATCTATGGGAAGAAAGTTGGTTGAATAGCAAGATCGCATCTGGATGATTATGTGTATTGCTCTGCATGTGTATAAAATCAGTGATATTTGCTGTGTGAGAAACTCAATACTGAATATGCTGCGAATGATATCTATTAGCTGTGCCCGACAAGTTAAATACATGTTGTCTTTTCTGAAGACAGGTTATGTTCACGGTTATAAAATACAGTTTATTCTGTTAAAACATCAAGAAAAATTTGTTTACGTTTTTTTGTGTTTTCAAAAACTTTGAGGAGAATTACGGAAAATCGCGCCCGCTTTGTGTGTAATTACTATTAGCATGTAACAGTGACAGTGTTCAGTGAATATAATCATTTCTTATCTCTCATTTTTGAAATTCAGCAAATTTAGATATATAATTCCCAGAATGGATGAGAAAAACTAAAAACAACTAATTTCTAGCTTTGAATCTCAAGTGAGTGTATTTGAGATAAGAATCCAGTGGAATTATCATCAACAATTAGTTGTTTTTAGCTTCTCTTAACCATTCTGGAAATTACATATCTAAATTTGCTGAATTTCAAAAATGAGAGACAAGAAACGATTATATTCACTGAAGACTGTCTCTGTTGCATGCTAACATTAGCACACACATCCTCATTATGCACCTATGCATTTCCGTTTCCTTCTAGCTATAGTATACAACTTATAGCTTAGACCTCCAGTAATACCATCTCTGGAGTAGATTTTATATCATACAACGGAAAAACATTGATAACTGAAGCCTCATGAGATTTAGGCTACGCGTACAACTACAAAACGAGTTCACAACGTGTCCATCAGCTAGTGCTAAGTTAACATTTTGTAGCAAAACCTACATAATATCACAAAAAACCAATACAATGTAAAAAAAATCGACATAATGTCACTTTTCAAGATACGTAACACTCGTGCCGCAGGGGAATTATATAAAAACCTAAAAAACGTCAAAAAACCCAACAAAATGTCATCTTGCAGTCTAGGTTTTTAGTGTGCAAATAGTTCATTCCACGTTTGGTCGCTATTATTGCTGTGAGCGTCCATCTATGGAGAAATGACTCAACGACATGTTCTAAATTTTATTCAAAAGGCACTAATAGTTATTTATGCATTTATGGCGTTAATGTTTGAAAATGAAAAATATGAAGAAAAATTGAACTGTCTTGTCAACGGAACTTGCGGCGCGCTCTAACAACCAATATGATGCAATGTCTGCCCATGGAGTCCGTGGGATGAAAACTTAGATTGAAGGTCCAAAAGTCCTATGCATAGAGTACAATTTACCGCGCGGTATTATGTAAAAAACGTAAAAAAAAAAACGTCAAAATGTCATCTTGTAGACTAGGTAGTTTTTAGTGTGCAAATAGTTCATTCCACGTTTGCTCGCTATGAACACTGTGGGCGCCATCAAAAGCGTCCATCCATGAAGGAATGACTCAACGACACGACATGGTTGCAGAAAACTGAGTAGTCTGTACTGTTTATCTCTGAAAAGATCTGAAAGAAGGATAAAATTAACCTTGAAATGACCGTGAACGTCAATTTCAAATTCAAGCTCACCGTCAGATAGCCGCGGAATAATCTTAAATCTATGCCTGGTAGAATTTCTCGTTATATATATTCAAAGATTCCAAAATAATAAAGTTCTGAGGAAAACTGTCAATGCCCCTTAGTATAATTATTCTGGTTATCAACGAGATCATGAAAGTAGCGGCCAGGCTCGAAGCATATACACCCCAATGCAGCTCTTCAGCTGCTGGACAACCACGACGCTGTCCGACGATTGAAGATGGGCATGTGCGCGAGTTCTTAGAGATATTATAAGTTTTTTGGCAGGGGGGAAGCTTTTATAGGCACTCTCAGACAGTATTGCCTTTCCTGTCCGAAGTGTGGGATTCTCCAGAAGTGGCATACTCACTAAAACCCCTGTCGTTCGCCACACATCCCGCCACAGTAATGCTTGCAGTCTTTCTTCATAATGGGTAGCGTTGCGCTAGGTTCTCATGCCGAAGGTATTAGTCATATATTCTCTATCGTACACATATATACTTTTATACCTATGTACATGTACAACCAAGCAAAGTAGAAACCTATTACTGGTCTTTGGTCTATTTTTGTTATCCCGTACCTTAATCAGCATTTGCCTCACGATTGGTTGAATATTAACCCATTCCCTCGCATATGCGTTGCAAAATTGTCAGCGTGAGCCTCTCGCTGACCGTCAGTTCCAGCTGTGTCTGTTAGTCAACCCACCTATCACATTGGAGTATCCTCTCTCCTACCCTCTTCAGGTAGTTGTCAAAACAACCACTCCTGTGAGGAACTGTGCAGTATAGCAATCTATCCGCACCGCTCCCTTGTCGATTCAAGTTTTAATATCTGGCATCAGCCTTCTGGTCCATGCATCATGCCATCCCATTTCTCCTGCCATCTGACGCGTCCCTTTTATCGCTTGTAGCTTGGATGCCCTTTTTTATCCAACAGCAGTGAATCGGTCGACACCATTCTGTAGGTGCATACCACAGGCAGCACCACTTTTCGCTGGCTCTCAACATTATGTGCCTATATTTCTCTTTCATCAAGGCCTTGTTATACATAGGAGCTCCGTACAGCATAATCGAGTTTGCCACACCTGCCAAAATCCTGCGCCTCTCACTACTGGGGCCTCCATCAGATGGCATTAGCCATATAAGTGTGCAACCACCTTATTTACCTTGTCAGTGGTGGGCCTTATATGCTCAATCATTTTCAGATCCTTTGCCAAGCCACACACCCAGATACTTTTGCATTTGGCTCCAGGTATCGGAATTATCATCCTTAACAGCTAATCAAGTTACCTTCTGTCTGTCAGAAAGTATAACTAACTCTATCTTCTCAAGAGCCAATTTGAAGCCATTTTCTTCCATCCATATGATAATTCATCTGATTCCGTATGCCAAGAGTCCTTCAAGAGTACCTCTCTCCTTGCTAATCACTAAGAGTACCTCTATCCTTGCTAATCACTATCATAGAAGGTAGTCAGCATACCCTATCAAGCGAATTCCCGGCAGCATCTGTAATTCAAGAACCCCATCATAGAACACGTACCAAAGCAACGGCCGTAGGACGGAGCCCTGCGGCGCTCTCATCTTTTTCCCTACCATAAGTGCCTTCTCGTCAAAGTAGCTCTTTATCATGTTCAATAGATAGCTAGGGGTGGCTAGCTTCACGAGAGATTTGACGGTTTCCTGCCAATGTGCGGTATTAAAGACATTCTTAACGTCAAAAAACAACCATAACGCAAAGTTTCTTACTTCTGTAGCTGCCGATATCCCGCTAGTTTTACCAGCTGTGACACTGCACTAAGTGCATCTATGGCAGTCTTTCCCTTTCTGAAACCACATTGGGAGGTAGTCAGTCCGTTCTTTTCCTCGACATATTTTCTCAGAATACCTTATATCAGTCGTTCTAATAGCTTTCCAAGTGAACTCAGCACACACAGAGGCTCATATTTGACTTCTCGACAGTATACTTTAAAACTATCTAATAGATTGCCTCCAGTTTGTAAGAAGAGAAAAATTAGTGGTTTATCAAATTGATATTCCAACGTTTGGGCATCAAAAGCACTTTAAAAACAAACAAAAAACCTTTATAACAACTACTCGCGTGGAAAGCTCCTATAAATATCAAAAGTCTACATCTAGTATATTTATATCTAGTAGGATCACTCTACTTCTATAAAGTAATATTTTCACACAACTTACTTATATTCATTGAGCTGGCCTAATAGGACAGCACTTTGCGCTTTTAAAGTAGCAAGTTCTTCCGAGTGTTTTTCTTCTAAGCCTAGATCGCGGTGGTTGTGATTCTGCCGTAATATACTCTGTGCTCTCACCTTCCAAAAAGAAAGATTCAGGAGGTTAGTCACCGCAAGATATCATAAAGTAAAGGTACAAGGTTCAATTTGGAGCTGATATTATAAAACAACGAATTCGGCCTAGGTAGAAGGAGCAAGCAAGCAATTGGTTTTGATTCACCATATCGTAATCAGTAGTCAGAATGTAAGTGCATAGTCGACCAGTTGTTGACACTGGCATTAAATTCGTATTTTCCTGCATAAACATAAAAGCGTAAGTAATGCCATACAGTGGTTTCAGATACGAGGGTTGTTTCAAAAAATAGGTTCCCAATTTTTTTTCAGGAATGAGAGAAAACGAATTCACCATTGGAAACGTTGATCTTTAAGCTATTTTTCTCCATAAACGCCAATCTTAGCAATATTGCGTTGAGGTTAGTCCGTTCCTGGTGATCTGAATGAGATTATTTCTGTAGACACCATCATGTGAGCTTCCAACTAGTAACTAAGTTTTCAAAATTTTGTTGAACTCGGCAGTGTTGTTCAAAAGTTAGTTGCGATTTCCAATAGCATACGTTAGGGCAGGTATCTTTGTAGGCGATGTTGTAACACGTTTTTTTATAGAAACGGATATTTTTTGTATTCTATATTTCCTGATTGGTGGAACTGTGAGGGTTGTCTCAAAAACAAGGTTCCCAGCGCTGTATCAATACCGCGCGTGATGCTAGGCGGAATCTGGCAACACCGCCGTGTTTGTCAGCTCCCCCATCACCGATCCCAACAAGAACCGCCTATTTGTGATGCTCAGTACCGGCCTGACAGCCATGAGCAATGGAGCCCGTCATCGCCGTCACCGCCAGGTTCAAAATTCGTGCGGTCATTTGATTTTTGCACGCAAAAACGTTACCACCCATAGAAATTAATCGCCACTTGAGTGAAGTATACGGCGAAACGTGTATAAGCATTCAAGATGTCCTCAAATGGTGAAAAGAGTGCTCTGACGGCCGTACGTACATCCACGATGAACAACGAAGTAGGAGGCCGTCGATCTCCGAGATAGTTGTTGCGAAGATTAAGCAAATCTTGCTCGAAGATCGGCGAGTCACGATCCGGGAGCAGGTCGTTGAAATTCCTGAAACTTCTGAAAAAGCTGAGACGGGAAAAACTCACCACGCACTCACCAAAACGTGAGACTGCACCACGACAATGGGCGTCCTCATGTCTCACAAAAAACGAAAGACTTAATCGAGCGATTTGGCTGGGAAGTCATTGCCCATCCCGCTTACAGCCCTGGCATAGCGTTTCCGAAATTGACGGAGTACCTAGGTGGTCAACGGTTCGAGGCGAACGAGGAGATGCAAGGAGCAGTTACCAAGTATCTAAACGTGCTGGTGGCAGACTTCCTTGGGGCGGGTGTGCAAAAGTGGATTTCACATCTAAAAAAAGCGTAGAAAAAAATGGCGACTATGGAGAAAAATAACTTACAGATCAACGTATCCAATGGTGAATTCTTTTTGTCAAATAAAAAACTCCTTGTGTCTGAGAAAATGTGGGAACTTATTTTTGAAACAACCCTCGTAGTATACTAGGTCCAGTGCCAACGTTGATAGAACTGCACTGAAACAACAGTGTTTTTCTTAAAAACGACCTAGTTTAGCTTTCCAAAAATATCATTTTTGAGTCATTATACTATTCACGGTTCTAAAATATGTGCATTATCGCTCCAGGACTAGTCCTTCATTTGCAATCTGAATGAGTTCATGGTTTTCTATGGACACCATCAAGTGAGGCCACGAACTGTTTAGCAAGCTGACAAAATTTCGTTGAATCTGTCGTTAAAAATTTATTTAAGAAAATCGATGTAGGCGAGCTCCGTAAGACATTTTTAAGTTTGGCATTCTTTTTTGTGTTCTATATGCATGCAATAGATGGACATGTCATTCTGTAACACCCTGTGTATCACCAATTACAGACCACCTGACTCTCTTGACGTCCAACGCTTTACCCTGACGAAAAGAGAAATTCAATTCAACTAAATGTAAGTGTATAAGAAGTAAGTGTTAAAATATATGAAGACCTTGTATTTGTCATACTCCTGCCGTATAAACGTCAACTCGTCAGTCTTTAGTTTACATTCATCCTGTATTTCTCTTAGGCTTTGTTGTAAGCCCATTGTCTGGCCACGCAACGAATCTCTTTCTTCTTTCAACTGGGCGTTCACTTTTTGATGTTCAGCTATCGCTTTGGACAGCTCAGTGCTCAATTCTTCCGTCACCGACCTACGAAAAACTCAACGGTGTGAATTCGGAAAACAATACGATAGATTTAGATGTACTTTTTTGGAAGCAAAAAAACACAATCTACTGCATTTGGTAATCGGTATTATCAAACAAAAGAATCATTTATGACATAGTTATTTTGTTTTTTTATGTTGATTGTCCCTGCCTGATCTTTGGAATTCCAATTTTCTATGAAGCGTCCGTGCGTTTTGAATGGTATTGTCGAATAATACTAGTTTCTAATCCATATACATGTAGTCACAACTCCAAAGAAAAAATAGCGTTGCGTAGGTTAGCTCTGCACTTCGTACGCAACGCTCTCTTATCAATTCATAAAGGATCAGCACAAGTTGATTCCTCTTAGAAAAAAATTGGCTACGAGCATGTATGTGTAACAGAGAAATTGAATGGGCGGTCAGTCAAAGAAACTCTTACAATTACTCAAGAGTCTCCCAATTTTAACAACAATGCGAATATCGAGGATATAGCTCCATCATAGATAATAATATTTATTGCTGTTGTATATAATATCATTTACACAAGAAGACAAAGTCAGTAAGAAACACATTGAAACAGATCACTAAATCTTTGTTCATAAACTCAGATATATCATAAAATAATTTCCTAATTGAGTATCCTTTGAGTGCCCCTTAAAATGATCTGTATTTAGTGACTTCACGGACCCTGGTAAAACGTTGTAAAACTTGATGACATAATAGTAATGTTCATCTCTTGCCCTCTGCACCCTGCTACATGGAACTACTACTACTAAATTTTGACCAAATCTGGTTTGGTAGCTATGAAAGTCCCAAGTTTCTGCTATAGTTGCTCATATTTCCCATTACGTGCACAAGGCATTCTAATAAATATGCAGGGTGTTAATCAAGTATGTACCATAAATTTAACACATGATTCTTTGAGTATTTTTAAGACAAAAAGTTCATATACACATAGGTCCGCAACTTTTTCGTTCTCAAGATACAGGCTGTTAAAATAAAAAAATGGTTTTTCGTAAATATTCTTTACCTAATTTTGTTGTAATTTGGCGGTGGTATTTATATCATTAAGGAGCTAGTGTAGCCCTAAGATTACTCAAAGAATCGTCTGTTACATTTATCATACATACTTAGTTAACACCCTGTATATACACGGTAAGGTCAAATTTCCAATGTTGATGAACGCATCAACACAGAAACCCCTTTATCCTAGTCCTGCTATTACTCTCACACATTTTCTTTGTATTGCTAAAACTCTAGAAAGTAGCTATAATAAGCTTGCAAAGAAAGAGACAAGAATAATCAAGGTTGCGAAGGGCAAATAAACTTTTACTAAGTTTGGTGGTTATTGACAGATGGAAGCCAGGAGATTTTACACAGATATTGTTACCAAGCTTTAAGGGCAAATGTACAGCATCCTCTGACACATAAAAAAGAAGTATGAGCGATTCATATTTTTTTCGTTTTTTGCCTGTAGCACAGCCTCCACTGGACCGGCTTTCAAAAATGACAAAGCTTTTTCATCCTTGGGATAGTAGTAACCATGTGTGGAATTTTCATCAAAATTATAGTTATTATTATTATTATATACATGACATTTTTTTGAAAAACTGTTGCTTGTTGCAGATTAATAACTGCAAAATGAAAGTATGATATCACTCTATAGATTAACAGACTGAAACAAAGAGGTAAATATTTCTATGTCTATCAATCAATTATTCAAAATTCTTGTTACGTCTTTACCGCCCGACTTATGAAATAAGCCGGCACAGCTGTCCATAACTGACATAAAGGCTGGCCCAACGAAAAGGTCGCACCCCCTTTTGTGACTTTCCTGGTATATTTTGGGGAAAATGCTCGGACACGTCAATTGATTTCTAGGGGGACGTCTTTTCATCTCTAGCCGTACAATACAGGGTTATCAAAAAATAAGAGATTGCGTTACACTTTAGATTTTTAAAAGGAAACCCCCATTTTTTTATTAATAGATTTTACATGAAATTTTGTGTAACTTTTGTATAATAAAGTTTATACATATCCTCAATCATTGTGAAGCTATTTGAAATTATAATAAAATTCGACTAACTTTTACTGATAATAATGGAATGCACGGCAAAAAATAATAATCATGGATACCAGCAAGAACATTTAGGCATCAGTCAGTGTCATCGTGAATCATAGAAAAATTTTGTTCATTTCAAATTGTCAAGTTACCTACCTAGTTGTAATAAATACTGAACAATTACTTATTCAATTCAAGAAAGGGTAGAAATAAAACTGTTTCACCAAAATGGGAATAATACAAGAGCTACTGCCCGGTTGTTTAATGAAAATTTGAAGAAACTGGATCTTTGTTTGTTTCAGATTTATTTAGCATTAATGCTACAATATCCATGTTACCCAGTATATCACATAACATATGTCTTCAAGACTACATAATTTTATACAAAATTTCACTACTATGAATTCTGGTTTTCCATAAGATATTTTTTCAATTTCTGTGTCTAATATTCGCCGTAATCGCCATCGATAAAGTCGACCAGTTAGAAATGACGCAGCAGAAATAGCAGTTTTGGGACACGTAGCACTTGACAATACCCAAAGCACTCGTGGACTGGCTACTTCTTCAGGATTTACACGTTCGACCGTACAAAGAATTTTGAAAGGCAATAAATTTCACTCGTACAAGGTAACACTTTTCCGTTAGCTTAATGAAGACGATTTTGATAAAAGGTTAGAGTTTTGTTACAACGTTTAATCAACAATGCAAATCTGTTATTTAATATTTGTTTCTCGGATGAGTGCACGTTCTATTCACATGGTGCTGTAAATAGACATCAGTGTCGATATTGGAGTGACTCGAATCCACATTTGTTTGGAGAGGTACACTCATAATATCCTGAAAAAATGAATGTGTGGGCCCGCATTTTCGGGAGTTATATTGTGAAACCTTTCTTTATTTCTGGAAACTTGACGGGCGAGTCGTACTTGGTATTTGTTAGAAAATAAAATAGAGCCACGAATCACCGAAATAATAGAAAATAAAGTTAATTAGGATGAAAATGACATTCACTTCCAACAAGATGGCGCCCCGCCGCACTATATGGCTCCAGTACGACAGTTTTTGGACACCCATTTCCCGAATCAGTGGATCCGCAGACGACGCCTCATCGAGTGGCCGCCGAGATCTACGGACCTAAGTTCTGTAGATTACTTTCTTTAGGGGCATTTGACAAGTAAAGTAGTAGGACGAAGTCAAATTCCGTTTAAGATCTTCGTCAGCGGATTACGGCTGAATGTAGACAAATAACTCAAGACATGCTTGAAAATGTGCGGAATAGATCCGATCAAAATCTTCATTATTGTATGGAGATAAATGGACACTACTTTCGGCACTTATTACCACATCGACCTACCTCTTCATAGCAAATTAATTTTTACTTTAACTTTAATGTGAGTGTAAACTGTAAGTTGTCTTTTGTTTTTTTAATACTCAGACTCTTGTTTTCAATTTTAAAGTCTTGTTACTCTGGGAACTATATTATTGTCTTTACGATATAATCCCTTGTTATCAAAATTTCTAGAATTTCAGTATAAACTCAAGTACAGGGTGATTCAGTAAAACAGCACGACTTGGCAACGTTGTGAACCTAGAAAGTGGGAAGTTTAGTTATCATGGAAAAGTGGTCGGGTGAACAACGCGCATTTGCTGTAAAAGCTTATTACAAAAATTGTGAAAGTTTTGTGCGTGTACAACGAGCGTTTCGTTTACACTACCATTTGCCGCCCCGCGCTCCAATTCTTTGAGGGTATCTTGAGTCGTGTTTCAAAGTAACCTGCCAAGAACTATCGAGGCTTTGAAAGAACGGATACGCGAAGAAGTGGAAGTTATACGTCAAGAAATGTTACTCAATGTCGCAAACAGCTTTGTACCACAGCTTCAAGAATGTGTCCGACAAAATGGAGGCCACCTTTCCAATATCATCTTCAAAAACTGAACATTTCTTCACTTATATATTAATTTCCATGTGTGTATTATACGTTTTTTTTTTTTATTAAATTTAATACAAATATATTTTTCAGTTTTTTTTGTTTATTTGAAATCGTACCGTCTATTGGATCATCTTGTAGCTTCACAACGACTAAAGATATGTATAAACTTTATTATACAAAAGCTACCAAAAACTTCATGGAAAATCTAAAAACTAAGAAATGGGGTTTTCCATTTAAAAATCTAAAGTCTAACGTAATATCTTATTTTTGGATCACCCTGTATTGTACGGCTATAGATGAAAAGACATCCCCCTAGAAATCAAAATTGACGTGTCCGAGCGTTTTTCCCAAAATATACCAGGGGGTACGACCTTTTCGTTGGGCCACCCTGTATAAGAGGAAGAAATGCATTGGGATTTGATATGAGCAAAAACATTCTAAATAGTAGAATTTTTAAACTTGACCTAAAGAATTACCTTCTAATTAAGCAGCCATGACAGTTCATCATCATCATTTTGCATTAAATCGTATCATTCCACATATTTTATTATACATATAGTCGGTGATACTGTCGTACCGCGATACCGCGTAACGCACAATGGTTGAAAACGCGTAATATAGTAGTAATCAGCTCTGTAGTAGATTGATAAAACTGGATATTGTCTTTATCATTACGTGTTGGCCTGACTAGTTGTTGTTCCATTTGTGTGGTAAAGCATTTTGATTGATTTTCGCGCTCAGCTGACCTTACGGGACTAAGCCAATCGCTATCAAGAACCTGAACGTACAAACTATATAGATTTTTTTGTAGTTATGCGGTTTGAGCCACTGCTGGTTATGCGGCATTGCAGTATCACCCACGATATGTACGGGTATGTACATATGTTATTTCAGTTACTACGAGGGCTGTTTCTAAAAAAAGGTTCTCAACGCCGTAACTTTGCCACGCGTGATGCTAGGCAAAATATGGCAAGAACGTCATGTTTGTTGCCTCCCCCACCACCGATCTCAACAAGAAGCGCCTATTGGCGAAGCTCAGTACCGGCGGTCATCCGATTTTTCCACGCAAAAACGTTACCACCCATAGAAATGCATCGCCAGTTGATTGAAGTATATGGGAAACCTGTATGAGCATTCAACATTTCCTCAAATGGTGAAGAGAGTTCTTTGACGGCCTCATGGACATCCACGATGAACAACGAAGCAGGAGGCCGTCTCCGAGGAAGTTATGGTGAAAATTAAACAAATCTTGCTCGAAGATCGGCGAATCACTATCTGGGAACAGGCGGTTGAAATTCCTGAGGATTCTAAAAAAAACTGAGACGGGCAATCCAAAATTGTCTTAGGGGAAAACTCTCCAAAGCGTAAAACTGCACCACGATAATGCGCATCCTCGTGTCTCACAACAAACGAAGGGCTGAAATGAGCGATTTGGCTGGAAAGTGATTGCCCATCCCCCTTACAGCTCTGACATAGTGTTTCCGAAACTGAAGTTGCACCTAGGCGGTCTAGGTTCGAGATGAACGAGGAGTTGCAAGGAGAATAAGTTACCAAGTTTCCAAAAGGGCTAGCGGCGGACTGCTTCAAGGCGGAAGTGAAAAACATGATTCCACGTCCAAAAAATGCGTATAAAACATGGCGACTACGTAGACAAATAGCTTAAAGATCAACGTTTCGTTTTTTCAAATTAAAAATTACTTGTGCCTGAAAAAAATGTGGCAACCATCTTTTTGAGACAACCCTCGTAATTTTTCATGTAAATTAGGTTAGATAAGGACGGTTGAGAAGAGAAGCCGTTGAGGATAGACTTCGCCGTTGGTACGGATTGAATGATTAATATATTTCCACAAATACGTATTTTTTTGTTTCAATAAATTTCGTTTTAAAATATTTATAGAAATGCTAATGACATTATTCTTCATATTAGAAAATACCTTGCAGTTTCTAGCTGAAGTGTCAAATTTTGTAACTTGTCTTCTTTCATTTCGATATCATTTTCCAAAATCAAAATTTGTTTCTTCTGTGCCGCCATTTCAGAGTTAAGCAAAGCAACGTTTTCCTTTTCTTCATTGATTCTTTCTTCTAAGAGTTTATTTTGTTCTCGCAATGCATTCATCGTACTTTTCTGCGACTCTACTTGACTTTTCAGTGTGGCGATTTCATTATTTTGTTTTTCTAATTTCTTTGCAGTATCTTTCTGGCTCCTACAAAGATAGTATTACGATTTTTCTCGGTTACTGTTTTTTCTTCACCACTCCCGCGTTCCTGCGAGGCAGGTGAAGAATGGGCGACGTTTTATACTATACTATACATCACAGCCATGTTACCAGGTAGGATCTCAGTAAATCCCTCAGATTTTTTATTTTTAAATCTGACTTGAGCCTTCTAAAACAAGATCAACCACAAGCCTCCCTCGTAATTATTACAAAGATTTCGGAATCTCAGAGTTTCTTAACAATGGAAAGGAAATACCAAAATCTGCAGCGTCAGTCCGAAAGGCAGCAATTCCGGGCGGCATTTTATTGACCTGGGTATATTCTAGTAGTATATGTTTATAAGGATGTCAAAAAAATGAAAGTTCTATTTTTCAAACGCATACCCCCTAATTTTTTCCATTTGACTTTAACAACTCAAAAAATAACTATTGCGATCGGGGAATAATAAAAGAAAAGGCGCGCCTTAGGAACACCGAAGAAGAAAAGCGGCGAGCTACGTATGTTGCTTCCTTAACTCCTTCGACATCATCTTAGGAACAGGTGCAAGAAAATTCATCTTCAGATTCCGAGATGGATTTACAAAAAACTTTGCCCATCCTAACTCAAAGCACACAGCCTGATACTAGTCAAACTCAAATGAGGAAAAGTTTCATAACTTCAAAATTAGTTACAGTATTAGTTAGGTATCAGTTCAGTATGAGAAATGCTGTTTTTATTATTGAAGAAACCATTGAAGCATTTGGAAAGAACACTGACGAGTTTCCTATACATAAGTCCTCCATTCAAAGAATTCGTACCGAAAAGTAAAAGGAGCGTGCAGAAGCTATAAAGCTTATTGTTGCCTCCTTTAAACGCACGCAAGTCTACAGAAGAATGTCAACAGATTGTTATAACATATATATATATATATATATATTTATAGGGAGAGAGAGAGAGAGAGACAGAAAATGATCATGCGGAGAAAGGTATATAACAATAAGTAGGAAAATAATGGGCAAAATCCGCAAAAAGGAGGACAGTGGATTCGAGCAGAAAATAGGATAGGTAACCCGAGCGATACGTATTTCTGCTAGTTGGCTTCATCCGGCCCGAAATGAATGCACATATGAAACTACAAAGATAGATACACATGCCCATACATCCGGATACGGGTGTAACATGAGGAAACGAAGATGGAGAGGGAAAAAAACACAACAAGAGCCAACCTACACAGAAAGAGCAGTCAAGTTAATGCAAGACTTCCATGGCTACAAGAGCACAGGCAGATACCTATATCGACTGTAAAGAATAAAACTTTGAAAAGAAAATTTAGTAAATAATGTTCTTTTAATGATAGATATTTATGAAATATAAGATACAAATCAAGCAATGTTTTATTTGTCGAATAAGAATTAGGTGCTGAAATTCATATATGGTTTACCTATTAACTTTCAAATCCAAAGCTTGACCGAAAGTCGGCCCGAGTTATCATTCCCGATCGCAATAATATTTAGTTTTTGAGTTGTTAAGTGTCAAATAGAAAAATTAGAAGATATGCGTATCAAAAATTTGTTTGCCCTCATAGACTGGGACGCCATAATCTTCATGAACGACCACAATGAAAATATATAAGCAGTGGAATGGATGGAAATCCTGAACATCATCAGAAAATTAATGCTCAATCAAAAATAAAAAAAAGGTAATGTAGTGGGTATTATTACCTTTCATAGTCCTGCATTTCTAAGCTTAGTACAGTGTTCTTCCTACACTCATTACTGGACTGGTCTAATAGATTTTTTGTTTGTTTATGATTTTCAATTTCCGACTTCAGTGCTTGCTCCTTGGCGTCGAGATCAGATGTCAGTCTAGTAATACGTGCTTCAAAATCTTTCTTCATCACATTGTTGGCTTCGACTTCTTTCCTCAATGTTTGTATCTTCCCGCTGATCTGCTTTTTCCAATTTTCTGTTGCTTGTTTCTCTCCTTTCAAGGTTTCTATTTCATTTTTTAGCTGTCCTACTGCTTCATCTTTCGAGGCGAGTTGAAGTTTTGTGTTTGAGATTTCGGTAGCTGCCGAATAAGATAATCACTGTTTTCTCATTAATATTCCAGTAGAGATGAGCGAGACGTATTGAGGAAATTATTTTTTATTTGGAAGATGCATGTATGCCATTATGTGTCCACCGCAGCTTCGCAATCACTCTGCTGCATGAAACCAAATGAATTGTGATTGCCTGAGTTATGTTGTTCCAGAGCACTATTAGATTTCGCCTCATTGGCATAGACTTGAGACTTCGCAAATCGTCAAAAGAAAAAGCAATATAATAAGTCAAATCAGATGATCTTGCTGAATACTTCATGTCATCTCTAGGAATGGTAAATGATAACCGTATACTCGTATATATATATATATATATATATATATATATATATACGTATATATACGTTTTTGCAGTGTGGCACATAGCAGGCCCTGGGCAAAGGGAATTGACGGTGAGGACATCATAAATAGTATTTTTGAAAAACCTTGGACCATGGTGTCGTCAGTAAAAATTCTGTGCTAAAAAGGTATCTGGATGTCGCCATAAAAGTTGACATTACTCAGGCCATCACTCAGATTCAGTCTAACCATTAAAAATTGGACGTTGTAGATCCAGACATTTTGCAACATTTAAACAATATATTCCGTACAAAATAGCATAACAGTCTTTCAAATAAAAAAGAATTTAGCTAATACCTCACACAGAGTGTACTTTACTCCATTTCAATGATTTGAAATTCTAAGATTTCCATTTTTCAGAGTTGAGAATATGCAAGTGTATGAAGAGTTTTCGATGTTGTAGTAAAAATATTTATGGACCAAAAATATACTAACATTTGGCACCCTGTCCTTCACGCCCCCCAGTCATATTGGTGCAGCATCGAAGTTCAAATGATTTACGAACGCGTGATCAGTACTGAGTTAATTTATATGATCTCGTTTTTTAGACAATAGAGAACGTACAAAAGTATGACGACTACAGTGAAATTCCCCTTCGCGGACACCACTCTCGTGAACGGACTCGGACACGAGAAAATGTTCTCCTAACCGGACAAAAAACGAAATAAAAAGAAACACCTTGTCTTATTTTTTTCTGTTGAGAGTATCGCTATTGCATTTCTCAATCATGCCGCGTGACATCTTTGCTGGGTCTTTCTCAAGTAAGCGCCGGGGATTAGGGACTTCCCCGAGTTGGTGGGGAATTTAGCGTTCTTATTCTTTGGATACATGCTTTCGATTAAATTTCCACTCAGTATTAGTGTGACGTCTATGCGGAAAAGACACATAGCTCCAAATTCTGACGCTTAAACAAAAAATTGATATTGTTGAAGTTCACAATAAGGAAGAGTTAAGTGTAAGGAACTTATCGAAGCGTTTTAATATTGGAAAAACACAAGCTGCAGATATAATTAAACATAAAGAAATCCTTCTGAAGAAATGGATGTCGAACAGCAATTTGAATGAAAAAAGAAGCTTTTTGACGGGTGATGGTACTAGAAATGACTAATTGTGTTATAACCGTTATATAGCAGCTCGTCATAAGGGGATTCCTTTGACAGGTATGTATGAATATTTTTTTCTTAGATAAGGTTTTTTGTATTAATTTTTCCTTTGCATACAGATTATAACATAGACAAAAAGACTGAGATTATCAATAGGTTTGTCGAGACAAAAACGCAAAAAACTTACTCTTTTTTAGATCCGCTAATACGATGCAAAGCAAAAGAAATAGCCTATTCTCTGGGACATTCTACATTCAGTGCTTCTTCTAGTTGGTTCAATAAATTTAGAATTCGCCATAATATTTTTAAAGCGATTTCGGGAGAAGAAGCTTCGGTGATTGGTGATGTTTCATCATTTTTGGGAAAATTTCATTTGATTAAAGGATATTCACTGAGAGACACTATAATGCCTGTATTTTAAAGCTCTAACCAACAAAATGCTCACATTAAACAAGGGAAAATATGTTGGGGGTATCCCAAAGAGAGGTTTACAAATTTTCATTGTGTAAATATGACGGGTGAAAAAAAAAAACTCTTAGTCATTGGTAATGCAGCTAAGTCCAGAGCTTTTAAAAATATCAACTTGGAAAGCTTGGATGACAAGACAAGTTATGACAGAGTGGTTGCAAGACCTAGATTGGAAAATGGCTAAAGAAAAAGAAACATCCGCTTCAATAATATTAAAATCTTATTTTTGTCCCCTAATTGTACATCAACTTGTCAACCACTTGGTCAAGATATTATAAAAAGTTTTAAAACTTATTACTCAAGTCTAATACTCAAACACCTGCTAGTAAACATTGAAACTGCTGGTACAGCTTTTGAGTTGATAAAGACAATTATGTCATTGGATGCAGTTTATTTGGCAGCACCTGCTTGGGACCAAGTAACCAAAAAATAAAAAAGAGACAAACGACAATATATGAGTTTTTGCCTTGAAGTGACTTTTTATTCCATTGTTGTGTGTTGCTACATATACAGGGTGACTTTGAAGTTGAGTCATTAATTTTCAGATAATGATTGTAGAAGGTAGATAAACCAAAATATGTGTGTAAAAATAAAAAAAATTAAAAAAATGATACCTTGTTTTATAAAGTATCCTCCCCACAAGTATTTCAGTGCGGACCTGTATTTGATCGTGCGGTCTTGGAGCACCGGCATGCCCTCCCCTGTGAGGTCTTAAGTCACCTGATTCACGAGCCCCTTGTACTACATTAACAAAGGCACGAGGGGTTGGTTGCACTAGATTGGGAAACCGATCCGCATGAATCCGTGATTCCGCGGCAGCATTTTGTAAATAAGAATCATGTCCACAAGTTCAGCATTTTCGTAAACATGTGCCATTTTTTATTTAGATTGAGCCACGCAACAAACACCACTATTCACTCACGCGTTACCGACTGACACATTGACTCAATACAACTGAATAAAATTGTAGTAAAAACATCTTGATAAGCGTTTCAAATTCTTTCGCTTTTTTGTTTCCGATGCGATGAACCGATAAGGCGGATTATATCCGTTGTTGCCAAACACGAGCACATAATATTATTATTGAGACAGGGCGGTACTCAAACTTCTAAAGGGCTATAACTTTGTTATTTTAATTTTACCAGAAAAATGTTAAAGGAAAAAACATTTCTCTTGATCAGATCTACTCACTGTTAAAATAAATAAATAAATGACTCAACCTCGAAGTCACCCTGTATGTATGCACATACATAGTATATTGAACATATGTATGTACATACTTTATATATATCTAAAGGTAACAAACCTTTTTTATCTTGAGTTTAAGGTTTTTGTTTATTTTGAAAACATTTACATACATACATATACGTTTTAAATGTCCCAGTTTCTTTTATATATAGTTTTCATTAAAAACACGATTTTTGTTGTCTTTCTTTTATATGGACACCCCTGTTGAACAGACACTTTCAGTCAGTACTTTCGGTGTCCGTCCAAAGGAGATTTCACTGTATTGTTCTCAGGGCTTACCTACTGTACTCAGCCTATTCTCATACTGCCTGCAAATATTTTCGCAATCATCCAACTCATTCTGTAGTTTATCTATTTCACATTGCAAAGCCTGTATAGTTGAAACACTTGCTGTCAGTTTATTTTTAAGCTCCTCATTATCCTTCTGTTGTACAGACAAGCTACTATTCTGCTCCCTAATTTTACCCTTGAGCTTTATGGCCAAGCTCCTTAGTTTCGCATATCTCTCTTCCCATGATCCTTCCAATTCCTTCAATCCAATCCGTTCATCTGCTCTTGAAACTGTTGAAGTAGACATTGCTTCATTTTCTGCAATGCTAGTATCCAAATTAGCATTTAGCTTTTCTTTAAGATAGTCTATTTCTTTCCTCAAGCTACTGACCAGTTCCTTGTCATTGATCCCTGTTTGCCTAGACATTTTCAATGCCTCTAGATCAGCCTTCAATTCGTCTATAGTTTTTTCCTTCTGACTGATACTATCTATATTTTTATTTGCTTGAGCCTCATATATCTGTAGCTTCTTTTTCACTTCTTCACAGTGTGCTTCTAACATCGATATTGTCTCACCTCTTTCCTTAATAGCCTGGTTCATTTCATTCATTTCTATTAGCAGCTCTGAATTTTCTCTCTTTAAATTGATCAGCTGTTCTTCTAATTCTGCAGATATGAAGCAGGAATCAGCATCAGTTTGGATATCAGCATTTTGTACTAATTTGGTATGTTCTAGCTTGTCTAATTTTTGTTGCAAGTTTTCAATTATACTAGTCATATATTTGTTTTCATCCACTAATCTTCTCATTTCTTGGCTTGATTTTTCTCCTAATTTCTCATATGATTTCAACTCTTTCTTCAAATCGTTCATCAATTTCTCATGTTTCTTATTATCCTCCGTCATTGCAGATTTTTCTTCTAAAATTATTTTAAATGACTTCTTTTCATTGTTCAAGTTATCTAGCTCTCTTCTCTGTTCTTCATTGCTCTTTTGTAGATCTTGATATACTTTAGTCAATTGTTCAAAATTATTTTGTACTGTAGCATAATTCTTTCTTAAATCATTTAATTCTTTGACATTGCTCTCTTTAGATACTTCTAGATCTTTGTTTGTGGTTTGAACTTCCTTTAACTTTGAAACCAGATGTTCATAGTCTAGTTTTAAGCTATCTAATTTACTTTGATACTGTGAGATAGTTTCCATCAAATCATTTTGAGGTTCCCCAGTATCTTTTTTGTCTAACTGTTGTTTTAAAGTCTGATTTTCAAGTTCTATATTTTCAATATACCTTACAACTGTGGTTTTGCAAATACAAAGTTGATCTTTCCAATTTTGCACCTGTTCCATGTAAGATTTGAATACATTTAAAACATAATTCTTTTCATCTTTTACTGATTTAACATTTGAAGCTAATTTCACTATCTTGGTGTGGTAGAATTTAATTTTTTCTCTTAATCTAACATTTGATTGCTTTAGTTCATTAATATTGTCTAGTTGCTGTTCAACTTCATAATTATCCATCTCTCTTGAAGAAATATTAAATTTGAAGTGGGATAAGACTTGTTGCACTTCTTCATTGTTCAAGTAATGTTTTAGTGTTTGCACCTATTGAGAAAAATTGTAGGATTATCAAATCATTAAAACAAATAATTAATTAGGGATTGACTGATACCTATATGTATATTAGTAATATCAGCCTAATGTACCGCCCAATCCAAAAAATAAAGTTAATGACAAAATTATATTTTTTTCCCTAGGACACAAATTACACTAAGGGCTTTGTCAGTCTTTAAATTAGGAATTTTGTAGAAATATTTCCACACATTTACAGGAGTTCCATTCTGTTTTAAACTTAACACATTGAAAACCAATTAAGATGTGAATCACAATGGAGAATCCCCTTTCATGAAAGTGAAGTTGCTTAGACAGATAGAAAGCCTAGTAGAAAACTCAGGATGTGAACACTGTGATTCATGAAATGCAATGTAACAAAACTAGACTCCACTAATTATACACCTTCCTACAATATTAGTTTTACATTTCAAGCAACAATTTCAAATTCAAGAATTTTCTTCCTAGTTTGAAGGATATCCACAGCTGCTAAAATTAAATGAGAGAATCATGAGAATATATACTATTACTACTAACATAATTGATGAAGGAAAGAGTTTTCTACATGCAACTGGTTCCTCAGAGTAGATTTTTTAAAAATGCTAGGTTTTTCCAGTATGCATCATTTTACAGCTTAAATAAATACATTGCTGCCAACAAATTCACAATGCCTGATTACATATGGAAAAAATTGAATGACCAATAATGCCGGTATATATTATTTTATTATTATTAGAAAAAACCATGTATCAGTTGATCTCCAAAATTAATACTGGCCTAAACAGATCTAATCTAGAATCTGTCAAGCCCAAAAGACCTAAGAATCATGATTTCCCTTGTTCTTATGCCAAGGAGGTTCTAGTGCACAAAAGCAAGTGCCCCAGAGCTGATAACATTTGTATTTAGTAAATCAATTATCCAATTATCATTCGAATTTAATTTTGACTAAATCCTTCAAAGTTGTGACTGACCCTTCAACTAAATGTTACCTACATGTTTCTTAAACTCTGTTAACTTGCTTTTGACAGACATCTCGTCTGAAACATTATTCAAAGAGTCTCCCAATTCGTAAATCATCTTTACCAATGGCATTTCTCCATGAGATACAGATAACTCTTTAGTAATTTCTCCTGATATGCCCAAGTTACTATTTTTACTGGATAGCATTTCTTTGAGTTTGCTATTTTCATCTTGAAGTGAAGCCTTAGCTTGTTTTGCCTTTTGAGCTAGAGTCAGCAGGTGGGCACACTTTCTTATCAGCTCATTTTTCGATAAATCTTCAAGATTATGTTTTTTATTGATGTCACTATTGGCAAATTGTTCCATATTGAAATTATAAATTACTTTGTGTGTGTTGAATCCAGCTTCAACATAGCTTTACTATGAATAAAATAAGCCTTTCAATTAGGTAGTTGCATTAGAAATAAAATTTTTCCACATCAACATTTGATTTGCACAATATGTCAATATCAACAGCTGTCGACTGTCACTATCAATAAATCGTCTCGAATCATGACGAACTTGCTCGATGGATCCTCCATCTTTCGATACATAACGAGCATAGTTGAAACCATAACTAATGCCATTTGTCCACGGTACGGTAAATTTACCGGTCGGTAGAACATATATAAGCATCTATTACACAGGGCGAGATTAGTAGCCGATCGCCGGCGAGTAGCGAGTGAGCGAGTAGAACACGCTCAGCGAGCTTTACTTGCATCGTATTGAACCTTTGAAAAGTGTTTAGTTTGTATCTTTTGTGCGATAATAGAATCTAAAATGGCTGTTAAATGGAACAGTAATCAAATTATACAGTTCTTAAAAGTCTATGAACAATTTCCCATTTTATGGAATATAAAACATAAAGATTACGTTAATATCAAACTCAAAGATGTTTTATTCAAGAAAATGTGGGAGCAATTAGAGGATAAAGGGCTTTTAAAAGGAATGGACGAAAAACAAAAAAAAGAATTTAAAAGATGTGTTTCGTCAAGAACTGGCCAAGATAGAACGAAGCAAAAAAAGTGGCTGTGGAACAGAGGATATTTATACTCCAAAGCTAACATGGTTTGAAGCTGCCCATTTTTTCGCTGAAGTTTTGTCAACAAGGCATAGTAATTCAAACTTGGTAAGGAGATTTTAGAGCTATATATTTTTTATTCATACTTAAGCAAATTATACATATCAAATAAAGTTAAATTTTCTTTAACACTTTGAGCAGAATTAATTTGAAAAATAATAAATCACTTAAAAATATAAAAATTGTTCAAGCTAATTCCAATCCCACTTTTTTCCATTGCCACGGTAAAGGATTGTCTTCCATAAAATACTTAGCGTATTTGCGTCTCACTTCCTCTGCAAAATTTTTGTAGTTGTTGCTTCCCAAATGACTAACCGTTGGCAGATTATTCACGTGGTTTCTCCATTGCCCAAAAATAATATTGCCCATGTTAAGATCCTCTCTATCTACGGCATTTTCAGGAAAATAAGTATTTGGGCTACTTTTTTTCAGCCAGTTGTGGAGACTACATGCTGCCAAAATAACATTGTCAATTGTAGTTTCTTTTAATTGAATTGGTCTTGAAAATATTCTGAAGCGCCACACAAGAATACCAAATGCATTTTCCGATACTCTTCTTGCACGAGAGAGTCAGTAGTTGAATATCCTTTCAGTATTATTAAGCTGTGACTTACTGTAGGGTTTCATTAAGTTGGTTCTCAATGGAAAGGCATCGTCCCCAACAATGACCGAATTTTCAGGCATGTTAAGTGTGTTATTTTGCATTGCTATGTTCAAAGTACTGTCTCTAAATATTGCACTGTCACTAGCTCGGCCGTTTGCTCCAATATCAATGTAAGTAAAGCAATAATCTGCGTCCACCATTGCGAATAACACGATACTATATGTTTTTTGTAATTAAAGTACATTGACCCAGAGTTGGGAGGTTTTTTAATCAGAACATGCTTGCCATCAATTGCTCCATAACATCTTGGGAAATTCCAACGAAGGAAAAAATTGTATTGAATTTGTTTCCATTCATTGCTTGTTGAAGGCATCTGCAAGAAAAAAATATGATTTAAAAAATTTGTTCAATTCTTAAATCAAGCAAAAAGTTAAAAAAAATTTTACAAATTTGTTCTAATTTTGTTCAGACTCTACCCAGCACACAAAATATATCTGAGGAAATCTCAAATTCTCAAATTGAACAGCGTGACGATGAAGAACCCGATACACAGCCCAAGGAACAAAATATAAAACCCTCAGAGGGGATGGGACCCTCTAAATCGAAAAAAAGGGTGAGAAAACAGGCAGATCCAGAGATTGGCGATGCAATCAGTCAGTTGAATAAAATAGCTGAAAATGTATCAGAAGGAAAACCGTACGACGAATTTGGAAAGTATGTAGCTGCAGAGCTGCGTCAATTACCCCAACGTGAGGCTATTTTATTGCAGCAAGAAATTCAGAATTCTATTACACGTGTAAAGCTAATGTGTTTGGGAAATGATAATCAACTAAATAATTACTACAGAGAGCCCCTTCAAGTGCAAACTTTTTCACCGTTATCCTCCCCCAGTGATCCCAGCCCTGCCTCATCAGCAACATATGAAGCAAATGTGCAAAATGACAAAGATAGCGTTTATGGTAACGATGTTATTCACCAAGCACTATTAAATACATTTTCGGGGGCAGAGTTTGAAATAGTAGAAGTTTCTCAATGAAATAGATTCTATTTTTCAAATAATTATAAAAATATTTTGTTTTATAAGTGTAAGTACTGTGTTAAAAATAAATTGATACTTAAATTAAACCTACCTTTATATATGGCTTTAGGACCTGACAAATTGCTGCAAGTACTTCGGGTACAAACAATGAAATTGTACATTCAGGCACTCGAAATAAATATTCTAGTGATTTGAACGAATCACCAGTTGCCAAAAAGCGTAGGGTTATTTCTAGTTTTGTAGCAGTTGGAATCGCCATCCTCATTTTTGTGTCTTTTTTGCGGATTGTTTCGTCAACCATTTGTAATAGTACATTAAACTGTTCATTGCTCATTCTCAAAACATTCCTATATGCCACAGGATCTTCATCGTTTAATTGTCTTAATAAAATATTAGAAGCCCCATGTGTGTCCCGTTTTGAAATACAATTCCTGACCCACATCCGTCTCGCTTACCTTTTTTTCTGGTTTAACCGTTCTTGAAGTTTTTTCCGAATTAAAAGGCTGACAAAAACAATTCCTACACGCACTATATCGGCCATTTTATCCAACTAGTCGGGCTTTAACTTATTACACATAGCGTTTTCACTCGTCAGAGAGAAAAATTGCGAGCGAGTAGCGAGAAAAGTATGTCGGTGTTCAACTTTACTCGCTGGGAAAAAGCGAGCCGCGAGTTTACTAGCAGCTGCGATTACATTTGACGACTTTTATAGCAGCGAGTAAATTCGCTGACGAGTAACTACTAATCTCGCCCTGTGTAATAGATGCTATATGCGTGGCTTTGTTCACAGAGATGTCAGTGGGTGAATATGGTTTGTTTACAAATCTACACGCTGATACATGTCTGACTGCATCACCTGCGTCGTCCGGCTGCCGTCTCTACGGTGGGAATGGTAGTGGTAAGGGTACCGTATCCGGCGAAATAAACGGCTAGTGGACAAGCGGCCCAACGGCATCTTCAAATAACGAGTTGTAAAGTAACGCCACTTTAAAGTGACCTGTGTGGACAGGTTTAGTGAGTGTATAACTCAGGGGGGTGAAACTAATATTGGCGACTGGGAAACAAAGTAGTGTTGCTGGTGCATAATATGACATATGGCCTACCGGTTCACGCGAACCCACCACTCCACCAGCTCGCAACTCGCAGTTTCCTACGGAACACGTATCTTGAAAAGTGACATTATGCCGTTTTTTTTTTGACATTATACTGTTTTTTGGACCTTATGTTGGTTATTCTATAATATGTTAACTTAGCACTTAGTTGTACGTGTTGCCTAAACGTCATGCGGCTTGTTATCAATCTTTGGCTTTGATGTGATATAAAATCTGCTTCTGAGATGGCATTACTGGAGGTCTAAGCTGTAAGTTGTATGTTTTGATGATAGTTACATTGGGTTCTTTTCTCAAATACACTTAATTGAGATTCAAAGCTAGAAATTAGTTGCGCATCCACTTTTTCTTATCCATTCTGGAAATTACATATACAAATTTGCTGAATTTCAAAAATGAGAGAGATAAGAAATAATTATATTCACTGTACACTGTCTGTCATTACAAGGCAAATACATGCTATCAGTAATTACACACAACGCGGGCGCGGTAATGATTTCCCGTAATTCTCCTGTGTTTCGTAATTTATAACTTTGAATATAACCTCGCTCCAGAAAGCACAACATATAAATAACCCGTCATATTCAGTAATTATTTTCTCACATAGCAAATATCACTGATATACACATACATACCAATACACATAATCATCCAGATGCGATCTTGCTACTCAACCAACTTCCTTCTCAGAGATAAAACTACAGACCCGGATCACTCAGCCTCACAAAGCTATGCAACCAATAATGCTTAGTTTAGTTGAGTGATTCCTCAACAAATACACGTTCACAACGATCCTAGTGAGCAAACGTGGAACGACTGTTTGCGCCCTAAAAACTACCTAGTCGCAAGTTGACATCTCATAGGTTTTTTTTTGACGTTTCATATGTTTTTTACATGATACCCGTGCCGAATCCGTCAGCGAATTTCTCCATGAGGCTGTTGCTTTTTATTAATCATTAATCAAATTCAAGCGGATAACCAAATGGAAATGGTATTTACCATTTTGGGTTGGTATTTACCAATCCGTTCAAGCGAGTGTAGTTATCAGTTTGGTTATAAGATCCGTGACGTCACGAATCAGCTGTTATATGTCATAGTTATCACCGAAAAATTGTGGTATTTACCCAACTCAAGAGTAGTTTTATATTTCTGGTTATTATTTAAAATGTGACCAGTTAGAATTTTGCCGGGTATTGGATATTGTTATTGTACTTCAGCTTCATTTTTGAGAAAAAGGATACAGGCTGACTTCAGTTTTACCATAAAGTGGAGCACCTTATTAGTTATACTCATTACGGTTGTTGGGGGCACTTTAAATGTAGTTCCTATGCTTAACAAAGTATCCTGTGTAGCCATATACCACAATATTAAAATATGGCCATATAAACTCACTAGATGATATCCACCTGTATACGGTTTTGCTAATTTCTTTTTTCATCATTTCTGCTGAATCAATAAATGTTTTCTTTGACATGCGGAAAAATTTAGAGAATTGAAAGTTATCATAGCTACAAAGCCATGGTTCCATCATTAAAAAAAAATCTGAAAAAACATTTCTCCCATGAATATTATGAAAGGTTTCTTATTTAAACTTTCCATATACAGTTGTAGACGAAAAAGCATTAAGTGATAATAAAAATAATCAGAGATTATATACGC